TGACACTGGGAATTCCAAGCTCTCTGACCAGGTAGATTCACAAGAGTGGGGGCTTTACCAGGGAAGTTCAGGGGGTGGATTGGTGTCTCAGCTAACAACTGAATAGGAACTGGTGGTCTTGAGAGTCTGGGACAATTAATAAAATCGTTAATTAGGGTCTTGGTAGTTCCATTCTGCAGAATGAAATAGGACCGCATCACATGATTTTAGATCATCGTGAGGAGACAAAATTTTGGTGGGGTGGGTCCTTCTATTGAGGCAGATAGCAGCCCCTCTTATCACTTCCACTTGACTCCACAGTGGAACTTCTCTGAACTTGGCTAGGCTTTGACATCTTGGGTTCTAAGGTCCCTTACCCTTATGGCATTCCTTGTTCTCAGGCCCTCCCAGCTCTGACATTCCCTGTTCCATGGCCCCTCCCAGTTCTGACATTCCCTGTTCCAAGGCCCCTCCCAGGGCAGCAAAACAGCAGAGAGGAGAAAGGAAGCATTCCTGCTGGTCAGCCATGGAGCTGGGGTACAAATCCAGGTTCTCTGGTGCTGCAGACACTGCTTCCCCCTTTCCCTCGATGCCTCTTCTAGCAGACCCAAGTTGGAATCCCGGTTCTGCTGCTGACCCACCAGCCCAGCAGTGTGACCTCGGACAAATCACATACCCTCTCAAGGCCCCAGTTTCCTCTCCTCTAAAACTAGGAGACTGCATCAGATAACAACTAACCTTTGGTGTTTTAAGGTTAGGGAAAGACCTTACAGACATTTGAGTCTCTCAAGGTCATATGGCCTAACTGAACCTCAGTTTCTCCCCCTGTAAAATGGGATTTTCACCACCATTCACCACTGATCTTGTAGGGCTATTGTGAAGGAAGTGTCTAGATTATAGGAGTGGAGAACCTGCAGCCCTGAGGCCTAGAACATGGTAGGTGCTTCATAAATGCTTTTTATAAGACTTTTTCTATGAAAGGGAATTTGTTTTTTTAATCCCTCATTTCGAGAAATGGGGTGACGGAGGGCCAGGTTCTGTCTCTCCGGCCTCCTCTTCCCCATCATGGCTTTGCCAGGGCTTGGCTTGGGCCTGGTGGCCAGCAGAAAATGATTCATTCCTGGAGCCATAGATTCTCAGGCCACCGCCAGAGCAAACTTTCTTGATAAATCTGGAGTATTTAAGGTTGAAAAGCTTGTGTGGGACTGGGTTTCATTTTTAAAGGGGAGAAGGGGCTTTTGAACTTCAAGAAGTCTTGGGGCAGACTCAGCAGGGGCTGCATTTGCAAAAGAGAGTTTGGGAAGCCCTGTAGTCCTGGGAGTATCAGACAGAGTCAGGCAGGGGGAATATCTAACGATCTCCTTGTTAATCATAGAGTCAGACATCAGAAAAGCTGCCGCCTTAAACACTGTTTGCATAACCCAAATACTGGTGGTGGGACTTCCCATGGCATTTTAAATATTTCCTTAGTTTGTTTACTCAGGGGAACACTGAGACATAACAAAAATTAAATGAAGTACACCATTAATTATGCAAAAAGCTTTTTATTGTGTAATCAGAAAATAAAATATTGCAAAGACCATTTTCTTCCCTCAGAAATTAACTGACTCTCTGGAATTAGCAGGTTATTTACCTGTCCTGAGCCCACCTCCTCTTCAATAAAATGAAGGAGTTGGATGGATCATCTGTAAAACTCCTCCCAGCCCTGCCATTCCCTGTTCTAAGCCTCTCTCAGCCCTGACATCCCCTGTTCTAAGGCCCCTCCCAGCTCTCACATTCTCTGTTCTAAGGCCCTTCCAGCTCAGACATTCTAGGTCCTAGAGCCCTCCCAGCTCAAGTTCCCTTTCTACCACTTTACTACTTTCATAATAAGTCATTTCACAGTAGAGTGAGCAGAGGATCTGAAGTCAGAGGCTGAGGTTGTTATTCAGTTGTCTGTCGTGTCTCTTGGTGACCCCTATTTAGGGTTTTCTTGGCAGAGAGACTGGGGTGGTTTGCCATTTCCTTCTCCAGCTCATTGTACAAATGAGGAAACTGAGGCAAGTAGGGTTAAGTGACTTCACCAAGGTCACACAACTAGGAAGTATCTGAGGTCAGATCTGAATTCAGGAAGATGAGTCTTGCTGACTCCAGGCCAGCTGCTCTATCCCCCCAAGTCACCTAACTGCCCCAGGAAGTTTAACTAGATGTCCTCTAAGGTCCCAAGCCCCACCTGGGAGCAGATCTGACCCTGCAGATAAAGAACAGACTGGCTGGACTTTGTACTTGATATCAAAGGGTTTGGGGTTAGTCCCCCACCCTGGCTCTCTGACAGCTCCTTCCAGTTTCTGTAGGACACAGGGCTATCTTCATGACCTCCAACTCCCCTCTCTGAGAGGTTCTCCTGCTTTTCAACATCCTTGCCCCAGGGTCCTCATGCTGACCAGGAATTCCAAACAGCCCCCCACAAAAGCACCCACACCCCAAACTTCTTGTGCCTTCCCCATCTACCAAACCTCCATACCAGTGGACCTCCCTGTGGTCTCCTTCATAACTTATCTAATCAAGGAATCCAGGCCAAGGGGCTAATGTTTGGTAGCAGGCTGCCTACCTCTTCCCCAGCAGGTGAATTAGATTTCTTGTTAAGGTTTCACCGATGCCTTTCACTTCTAAGCCCACCATCATTCACCCTTGACCCTGACCCTAACCACTGACCCCACCCTTGTATTAGAAAAGAAAAAAAAAAACAATCTCTTTGAGCAGAATCAACCAACATAGTGACCACATAGACCCCATTCCACATCCAGAGTTCCCCACCCCCACTGAGCAAAAATGAGGTGTTTGTAAAGTGCTTAGCACTTAGCAGGCACATAGTAGATGCTTTATTCCCCCCTCCCAAGAGAAGGGAAGTGGATTTCATCGTCAGCACTATGGGATCAGGCCTGTTTCTTACTGTGAGTAAAGTCCAACTGCTCTTTAGTATTATTTTATTTACACTGTAGTAGTAGTAGTAAGAAAAAAAAATAATAATAGTATTGTATGACATATGGTAGTATGTTATAATAAGCCAGACTTGTGCTTTAAAATTGAAAAGGAGCTCTTATACAAATTATCTCATTTGAATCCTCACTAGAGGAGGAAAGGAGAGAACAAGCAATTATTAAGCCCCTATTGCACACCAAGCATTTTGCTAGGTGATTTACAAGAATTATCTCATTCACTTCTCTTCACAACCCTGTAAAACAAGTGCTATTACCCATTTCACCCAAAGAGAAAACTGAGCTCTAGGAAGTCAAATCAATAAGCATTTATTGAGCACCTACTATATGCCAGGCACCATGCTAAGCACTGGGGATACAAAGAAAGGCTCTCAGTCTGCACCCAGTAATAGAGGAGACAATATGAAAACCACTAGTGAAGGTTATGTGACTCTCCCAGGGTCATACAGCTAGTAAGTGCCTGAAGCAGAATTTGAACTCAGCTCTCCTTGAATCCTCATTCAGCACTTCAGCCACTGCGCCTTCTAACTGCCTCTTGGATTCATTATGTCTATTATTTTATTGGTTCCACTTTCTTTACCTTGCCCCAATCCATATAAGTCTTCCCAGGCATCACTGAAGTCCTCCCATTTTACACATCTTATAGCACAACAGATTTTTGCTACCATGGAAAAAAAAAGTTCTCCTATTAAAATGCAGATATTCACGGGGTCTTTATTTCTATCTTTGGCCTTCTTAACATAGAAGCCCAACAGTGGGCTTGGAGGTTTGAAGAGTTATGTGGTTATTCTTGTGTAATTCCAAATTGTTTTCTTTAACACTTGAACCGATTTTCCATTCTACTAACAATGTATTAGTGTGCAAGAAGGGCTTTTTAGCAAGGACATTCAGTGCCACCCCAAGCTATGCCTTAAGTAGTGAGATTCCAGTTGCCAAAGCAGATCAGAAGGAGAGAGATTTTTATAGGATTGCACCCCTCAAATTCTACCCATGAAGCAGCCATTTTCTTCACTGAAATTGGTGAAGTTTTTGACCTTGAACTTCTAGGATAGTGTTCTTTAAAGATTGCTGGGACAGAGGATCCCAAAGGAAGTGTTTGTTCTCCACCTTGGGAACATTCAGGCAGACAAAGATCAAGCCCTGTTTCAGGTCCCTGGACTCATGGTTCTAAGACTCACCAGCTGCTGTTGCTAGTGCTCCTAATGGATGGATGGACGCAAGACCTAACTCTTCCTTCTAGCTCCCCTCTCCCAAAAATCTGCAAAATGATGCAGCCCTTGAATACAGCCCAAGTTCAAAACCCATCACACACAGCTGAACACTGGGATCATATCTGCTTGAGTACCTCTTGTTTCCATGGCAACGAAAACTCTATGGGATCCAAAGATGTTGTCCAGAAGGGACCACAGGGATGATGTAGTCATCTGTGTTACTGATGAGGCCCAGAGAGGTCATGAGATCCTAAATGTAGAGCTAGAAGTCCAACCCCATCATTTCACAAATGCAGAAACTGAGACCAGGAGAGGTTAAGTGACTTGCACAGGGTCACACAGTACTGGAGGTCATATTTGAACCCAAGTCTTCCTGATTCCCAAGACCAGCTTCTTATCAATCACTTGGTCAGTCACCCAGGTAGTACATACATAGCAAGGTTGGGATTCCAACCCCAGCCTTTTGACTCAGAATCCGGTGGTGTTTCTTCTGCACACCATTACTCTCCCACACATGATGCCAACTGTGGTCAGTCCAAGTCATGGGTCAAGTTTCTTCCTCTACCTTAACCAAAAGCTGAGTCCACAGAAGGGTACCACAAGCCACGCCCTCTCATAACACTTGTTGTCACTGAAAAGATGACCTCGGTCCAGCTGGCATTACTCTGCTCTCCCAAACTCAAACCAAGCCCCTTCCTCATGAGCCAGGATCCATGCTGGCCCAGAGATCAGCCATCCTTTATTCCCCTTTTATTGCAGTTTAGAAAAGAACTTGGTGTAATAAAAGCAGGGCTCTAGAAACGAAAACTCATTAAGTTGTTTTTCACTTTAGGGACCCTGGCGGCAGCAAAAGTACATTAAAAAAAATCAATAAGGAGAAGGTGATATTACACAAATGGGAACACTTCATCACGCCGCCAAAGGTAAATCCACCCTAATTTCTACATTGAGGCTTGAACCCCTCCCTGCCCCACCCTCAGGGCCAGCCCCCTCTGCTGCACCCCTTCCCCAACTGCCAATTGGAACCGTCCCACTGGCTCCTCCATTCCTCCTGATGTCTGAATCTTGATGAGTGTAAAATGGATTTAAATGTAAATAAATGTAAAATAAAAATGAGAGCAAAATGAATTTAGAGTCAGAAGACCCAGGTTTGAACCCTGATTCAGTCACTCTCTACCCATGTGTCTTAAAGGGTCTAGTCTCCTTGGTCCTCTGCAAAATGAGAGTGTTGGACTTTGGGGAGTTCTTAACCTGGAACCCCTGAACTTGTTTTCAAAAAATATTTTGATAAATGCATTTTAATAGAACTGGCTTCCTTTGTAAGTCGATGCATTTATTCATTCAAAGCATTATTCTGAGAAGGCCTGACCAGACTATACCAAAGAGGCTAATGACACAAAATCAGGTTGAGAACTCATGGACTCAGTGACAGCTAAAGCCCCTCCCGGCCTGGACAGTGTCTCCCTCTCAGGGTATTATAAAGGACTGCCTTCATAAACCTCTAAGTGCTATGTCAATATAAGCTATTATTGTTATTTTCTCCTAAAGTCCCATTTGATCATAACATTATTTGATTCCAAGATCCCTCTCAGTTCTAAAATTTTATTTTTGAAGACCCCTCCTAGCCCTTACATTCTGTGTTAGCTCTAGCATCCTATGCTTTAAAGTCCCTCCCAGTTCTGACATTCCCTGTTCTGAGGCCCCTCACAGCTCTAACATTCCCTGTTCTAAGGTCCTTCCCACCTACATTCCATGTTCTAAGCTCCCTCCCAGCTCTGACATTCCATGTTCTAAGGTCTCTCCCAGCTCTGACATTCCCTGTTCTGAGGCCCCTCACAGCTCTAACATTCCCTGTTCTAAGGTCCTTCCCACCTATGACATTCCATGTTCTAAGCTCCCTCCCAGCTCTGAAATTCCTTGTTCTGAGGACCTTTCCAGCTCTGACATTCCATGTTTTAAGCTCCCTTCCAGCCCTGACATTCTATGTCAGAGGAGATCTCTCCTCAATCTGACGTTCCACATTCTAAGGCTTCTCCCAGATCTGACTCACACTTACTGTCATTAATGCCATCATTGTTTTTAAAGGTGGCCTCCCTATATTGACCAGACCAGAAGTGCAGGGGCCATTCATGGGCTACTGCCAGTGCTTATCAGAGTGGGAACATTGACCTTCTCTGTTTCCAACCTGGGCTGGTCCCCCTCTCCTTGGGCAATGCCAAATTTAATTCAGCCATCCCACTGATACAGCCCACTGCAGCTCAGAACACCTGAGCCCCAGAGATTTGCCAGCCTCAGCCTCACTGGCAGCTGGGTCATCAGGCCGGAGCCACTACAACTTGCTGGTATCCCATATTCTAAGGCCTCTCCCCCATCCAACATTCAATGAGTCCAGGCTCCCTGGCACTCTCACAATTCTCATCACCCCCAAAGTCTCTTAACACAGTTGTAAAAACCTAGATGGAGCCATCAGGTCTCCAGCCACCTCTGGAGTGGAATACAGCAGCTGCTTAATGCCACCCAAGAGTTAAATACAAAGAAGGAGGAGGAGGAATTTATCCCAGAAAGATGTCGGCGGGGACTAGAGTCAGCTCAAATCCAGTGACTACAGCAGTTCTTGAGAGCCACCTCTCAATTCCCCTCAAACTGAGAAAGTTGAAGGAAGGGCTGGCCCAGCCTTCCGCTCCACTCTGTTTTCCCCCGCCGCCGTGAAGGAAGCAGGAACGTTTGTGATTCTGTTGAGGATGGCTAAAGAAGCGTTCATTAGCCGCCCTCGCTTGAAATAGCCACTTTGGGGATGCAATCAGAAATCCTGGCTCAAGGGAGGACCAGCCTCCTCAAAAGCCTGTTGGCCATTAAGAATTCTAGCTCTGGAAGAGCTAGTTGACCCTTAGTTTAAGAGGTTAAGTGACATCCCTGAGGGTCACATAGCTAGTTAATAGAGGAAGGCAAAAGCCAAACCGAGGTCTCAAGATCCTCAGACCCAGGCATTTTTCACAGGCTGATTTGATGACCTAGCTTTTCAAGGCCAAATTGACACAATCTTTATTTTTTTCCCCACCAGAATCAGAAATTAATTTCCTGCAGCGTAAGGAAGGCAGAGGCAGTATGGGCATTTTTCACCCAATGCTCTCTCTCCCCAGGAGTTGGCAACTTTGCCAATAGTCCTTTCATCTGGGCAGGGGGTTGGCCAGTGGGGACAACCCAAAGCAGAAGCAAATGATACAGAGGCACCCGGCTCCCACCCGAACCAGGTGGGGCTTGTACCCCAACATTCAGAGTCCTCTCTTTTCTCATCAAACTCCTGTCTTTTAAAAGTCTTAGGGCCATAGAAGGAGGTACAGAATCAAAGGGGTCCAGTGGAAACAGTTCTAGATTCACAAACTCAAAGGATAGAGGTTGAAACTCCATCTCGATGACCACTCACTAGCTGTGTGACCTTGGTCAAATCACCTGCGCTCTCTTGGCCTGGGTTTCTTCATCTGGAAAATGAATAAGTTGGACTAGATTCTCATCAGTGAGCATTTATTAAAGTGCCTACTATGTTCTAAGCTCCATGCCAAGTGCTGGGAATAGAAAAACAAAAATTACGTAGTTCCATCCCTCAAGCAACTTATATTCTCTTGGATAGGGAGGATAAAGGGTGTTCCTAGGTAAGTACAATGCACTTTCAGGTAAGAGGGAGTGATAATAAAGTCCCACAGAACCTCCCATAGCAGGTGGCATTCAAGCATTCATTTGAAGGAAGCTAAGGACCATAAGATCATAGATTTACATAGAAGGAACCTGGGAGACTTACCGATACAATCTCTCATTTTACAGATCTGGAACTTAGGGCCTAGGGAGGGTAAATTACTTATTCAAGGTCGAACAGGTATTGAGTCCCTCCCAAGGGAAGCTAGGAGTATAGTGCACAGAGCACAGGGCCTGGAGTCAGAAAGATCTGAGTTGAAAACCAGCCTCAAACACTTAATAGATGTGTGACCCTGGACTAGTCACTTAACCTCAAATTTCTCATCTGTAAAATGGGGATAATAATACTGTCTGGCTCTGTTGTTGCAAGGACCAAACAAGATAATAATTGTAAAGTGCTTAGCACAGTGCCTGGCACATAGTAGGTGCTATATAAACGTTAATTATTGAGGGTATTGTGGGAAGATTGTGGAATAAGGCAAGAAATTACCCAGCTTTCCCAAATCCTCCACCACAAAAACACTTAAAATGATGTGTCAAATTTTAGAGTTTAGGATTTTAGAGTTTTATTTTAGAGTAACAGAAAAAAATTAAAAGTCAGGGTAAAGGAGTTGTCCAGCCTAAGACAACTTGGGAGGATGTTTGGAAAGATCTGATCTCCAGGTGGTGGTCTGGCCTCTGTGTCCACAAGCAGAAAGCTCTGGGGGGCAGCTGTGTCAGGGCAGTTGAGGCTTCAAGAACCTTCGCCCCATGCCAGTGTTGGGGTCCAGTGGCTAATCAGGGGAAGATGGTGGGGCCCTTCACTGGCACTGGAGGTGGGGCCCAAGTTCTTGACCAGACTCAGTCCTGGGCTGTGTCTGCCTGTGAGAAGGAGCGAGCGCATGCCAGTGAGTCCAGTCACGGAGGGGCAGGGGGCTCTTTGATCACTCACAGGAGAGCCAAGTCCCTGGTCTCGGTTCCAGGGCAGAGGGGCAAGCTGACTTATGGCCTCTGACCAGTGGTACATTTAGTGGGGAAGGACACAGGGAGGGAGGATATTTGCTGTGCTGTGGCAGCAGAATTGCAGGCCCTGGCTGCCCATTCTGAGAAGGAGGGGAATACCTAGAATAACTCATAGACCAAGGCGTAAGCCAAAAGAGCAGTGACCACATCTGGTCTTGGATCATAGAACACTGGAAGAAGCAAAAAGGTCAAGGACCTCCAGATAGAGCCCTGAAAACAGCAGCATAAAAAATTTGAAGCCTGAGACGTTATCCCCCATACCCTGGGAGCAGAGCCTGGCCCTAACATGAAGTTTAAGAGACAAGAAATGAACTGTTTAAGAAAATGAGTAAATACAAGAGGAAAATAAACTGACCATAGATAATTACTATGGTGATGTAGACGATCAGGGTTCAAACTTAGAAGATAATGAAGTCAAAACAGCTATTTGTAAAGCTTCAAAGAAAAATGTAAAATGGTCACAAGTCCAAAAAGAGTCCTTGGAAGAGCTTAAAAAAAGACTTTAAAATCAAATAAGAGAGGTAGAGGGAAAATTGGGGAAAGAAACAAGTAATGCAAGAAAATTAAAAAATTACAAAAATGTAGTCAACCGATTAGAAAAAGAGATCTAAAAGCTTTAAGGAGAAAACAATGCCTTAAAAAACAGAATTGGGCAAGAGGAAGCTAATGACTTCACAAGGTATCAAGAAATAATTAAACAAAATTTAAAAAATGAAAAAATAGAAGAGAAAACAAAATATCTCACTGGGGAAAAAACCCCTGTAAAATAGATCAAGGACAGAGAAGAATTGTTGGACTACCTGAAAGTCCTGACCTGAAAGTCATGTCCTGAAAGTCATGACTTGAAAATCATGATCAAAGAAAAAGTCTAGACATTATACTCCAGGAAAATATTAAGGAAAATTGCTCTGAAGTTTTAAAATTAGAGGGTAAAATAGAAATGGAAAAAATCTACTGTCACCACCTAAAAGAAATCTCAAGATGAAAACTCACAGGGACATTATAGCTAAGTTTCAAAGCTCCCAGGACAAGGAGAAAATATTACAAGCAACTAGAAAGAAATAATTCAAATATTGTAAAGCTACAGTCAGGATAACACAAAATTTTACAGCTTCTACATTAAAAGACCAAAGGGCATAGAAATTATATTCCAAAGAGCAAAGGACCTAGGTTTGCAATCAAAAATAACCTACCCAGCAAAGCTGAGCATTATCCTGCAAGGGGGGAAAAATTGTATTTAATGAATTTAATGAAGACTTTCAGGCATTCTTGAAGAAAAGACCAGAACTGAACAGAAAATTTGGTTTACAAATACAGAAGTCAGGAGTAAGATAAGAAAGTAAACATGAAAAACTAATCATAAGGGATTTAATAAGCTGTTTCCTACTAATATGGGATAATGATATTTGTAACTCTTAAGAGCATATATAGAAAGAGGGCTTGGGGTTGACTTGATTATGGTGAAATGATCCTAAAAAATAAAATGGGGTAGGGAGAGATAAAAATGGAGCAATTATCTTATACAGACAAGATGTAAATGGAAGAATTTTTAGAGTGGAAGAGAAGAATGGCTGGAGGGCAGGCAACATGGGAAACTTATTCTCATCAGAACTGGGTTAAAGAGGAAATAACATGTATATCCAGGTGGGCAAAAAAGTCTTCTTAACTTACAGAGAAATAGAGGGGCAAAGGGATAGGATAAGGAAGAGACTCTTAGAAGGGTGTATGGTAGTAGTCAGTCCAGTAAACTACTTCTGAGGAGGGATGGGGAGGGGGAGACAGAGAGAAAGATGGAGAAAGAGACATACAGACAGAGAGAGACAGAGACAGAGAGACAGAGTGAGACAGAAACATTTGGGGGAAAATAAGATGGAGGGAAATATACAACTAGTAATTATAACCTTAAATGTGAATGGAATGAACTTACCCACAAAACAAAAATGGATGGCAGAATGAATCAAAAACCCAAACCCAACAATATCTTGTTTACAGGAAACACATTTTAAAATGAGAGACACACATACAGTAAAAATAAAGGGCTGGAGCAGAATTTATTTTGCTTCAGCTCAAGTAAAAAAAAATGTAGGGGTAACAATCATGACCTTGGACAAAGTTAAGACTAAAATAGACTTAATTAAAAGAGTTAAGGAGGGAAACTACATTATGTTAAAAGGTACCATAGATAATGAAGTAATATCAATACTAAACCATATATGCACCAAATGTAAGAGTATTCAAATGGATGAAGAAAAAGGTAAATGCATTACAGGTGGAAATAGATAGCAAAACTATAATAGTGGGGGGCTTCAACTTTCCTCTCTCAGAACTAGATAAATCTAACTAAAAAATTAATAAGGAAGAAGTTAAGGAGATGAATAGAATCTTAGATAAGCTAGATATGAAATACATATGGAGAGAACTGAATGGTAATAGGAATATACCTTTTTCTCAGCAGTACATTGTGCCTTTATTAAAATTGATCATATATTAGGGCATAAAAATCTTATAGTCGAATGTAAAAAAGCAGAAATTTTAAATGCATCCTTTTCAGAGCATAATGCAATAAAAATAAATTTTTAAAAAGACCATGAAAACATACATTAAAAATTAGTTGGAGACTAAATAACCTAATCTTAAAGAGTGAGTGGGTCAAAGAACAAATCATAGAAACAATAAATAATTTTGTTAAAGAGAATGATAATAATGAGACAACGTACCAAAAGCTGGGATACAGCAAAAGTGGTAATCAAAGAAAAATTTGTATTATGAAATACTTACATCAATAAAATAGAAAAACAAGAGATCAATGAAGTAAGTATGCAATTAAAAAAACTAGAAAAAAAACAAATTAAAAATCTCCAATTAAACACCGAATTGGAAATCTTAAAAATTAAAGATGAGATTAATAAAACTGAATGTAATAAAACCATTGAATTAATAAATAAAACTAGTAGTTGTTTTTTATAAGAAAAAGGAAATATATAATAAAAAATATAATTGGTTAGTATGATTTTTAAAAAGAGAGAAAACTAAAGCATTAGTATCAAAAATGAAAAGGATGAATACACTACCAGTAAAAATAAAATTAAAATTATTAAGTTATTTTGCCCAATTGTATGCCAATAAATGTAACAATTTGAGAGAAATGGAAGAATGCTTACAAAAATATAAATTGCCCAGATTAACAGAATAGGAAATAGTTAAATAAATCTATTTTAGAAAAAAGAAATTGAACAGGCTATAAATGGGCTTCCTAAGAAAAAAGCATCAGGACCCAATGGATTTGCAAGTGAATTCTACCAAACATTTTTAAAAAACGTAAAAGGCTGGAGGCCTGGTCCTGGGGCTGGCCCACAGATAGACTAGAAGGTAGGTAAATTTTGTCTCTGACTTCCATTTTCTCATTTCACCCCGGGCTTAGCGTCAGAAGCCCTGGATTTGAGCCTATTCCTCGATTCCTGAGCACACTATTCGGCCTCAGCAGATCTCAAATTTCTCATCTGGAAAATGGAAATCATAGTATGAGCACTAGATAGCTCATAGGGCAATTATAAGCTCTTTGTAAACCTTAACCATGATGCACCTGGGAGTCATTATAAATCAGAAAGAAGGTTGTATCCTCTAATAGAATATCATCTCCTTGAAGGCAGGGATGATGTTTTTGTATCCCTGGTGCTTAGTACCGTTTATGCACATAGTAGGTGCATAAAATATTTGTGGAATTCAATTGGAAGTCTTAAATGTAATATACTAGTGGCATTTATTAAGCACCTACTATATGCCAAGCCCTGTGCTCAGCATCAACAAATAGACTCAGGATAGGCAGACCCATAAAATCAAAGATCGAGAGCTGAAGGAGACCTCAGAAGCTGTGTTTGGTTGAATCTTTTCATTTTACAGCTGAGGAAACTGAGGCCCTGAGAAGCTACAAAGTTCACCCAAGATCATACAGGTAGTAAGTGGGAGAGCTGAGATTTGAACCCAAGGCTTTTGACTCAATTCCAGTGCTTTTTCCTCAAGTCCTCTCTGATTCTGTACCTCTGAATCTAATTCCAGTACACTTTTCACTATACAGAGTCTAGTATTGATCAAAAGTGGAATGGGTTGCCTCAAAAGGTAATCAGCTCCCCATCACTTGCTGGGGTTCAATTCAACAAACAAAAAGTGTTGATAAGTACCTCCTATGTATAAATACCTACTATGTGCAGGGCCTGAGCTGGGCACTGAGAAATCTAAGACCAGAATGAAACAATCCTTGACCTTAAGGAACTCCCCATTGGGGTACCAAAGCTCAGCTAGATGGCCTCAAAGGTCCCTTCCTACATGAAACCCCACCAATAACCATTGATTTTATACACGTGTACATGTTGTCACTTTTTATAGACTATAAGCCCCTTAAGGGCAGGCACGATTTCATTTAGGCGCTTAATAAATGCTTATTGATCAGTTGATTGATTCCAACCCTTATTTCTTTCCCCCATCTGACTCTGTCATGGGAATTTCTTTTCCTTCTTCCTTCTAGTCCAGGAAATATAAAATCCCAGCTCCTCGGATCACATCCAGCCGGAAGCCTAGCCGGAGGCCATCAACCATCAGCCTTTCCCGCACCAGCGGAGGGTCCTCTCTGCAGAGCAGCATGCTGTCAGTGAACCCCATTGGCTCCGACGAGCCCCAGAGCACAGGGACCGTGGGCACCAGCAGTAAAGAGCTCGAGGACAATGAGTCTTCATCCACTAGGCAGGATGAGGAGAACATTCCTGTCAGTGAGTGCCACATCTCATCCCCCGACGCTTTCTTATTTCTCTCTCTGCCTCCCTGTGAACCAATCTCAAGGGGGCAAATAATGTGTTTATCATCTGGGAGACACCAAGAATGGCAGTGTAGGGGACATTGGACTTGATTGAGTCACAAGAGCTGAGTTCAAGTCTTGACTATGATTAACCCATTGTCACACAATGGGGATATAAGGATATAGACACATTTCCCCCACCCTCACAGGGATGCCCCTTCAAGACAGTTACAGATGGTAACAGTGGGTAGAGTTCTGGACCTGGAATCAGGAAGACTTGAATTCAAATCCAACTGGGCAAGACACTTCAGTGCTTTCTGCCTCAGTTTCCCCCACTTTAAAATTTGGATCACGATAGCACCAACATCCCAAGGTTGTCATCCAGATCAATTGAAGTAATATTTGTGAAGCTCTGAGCACACAGTAGGTGCTTACTACGTGCTTGTTTTGTTGTCCATAGGCACAAATACTTAAAAGAGGGCGCCCTTTTATAGCACAGGATTTAGCGGGAAGAAATCCAGGCTCAGATCCAGCCTCCGACACTAATGACCTGTTTGACCTCAGCAAGGCATTTTCTCCTCCAGAAAAGAAGAGGGTTGCCCCACATGGATGCTGAGACCAGCTCTGTCCATAAGTTTGTTTCCTCAACCATAGCAGCATGTAGAATGACCACCTGCTGTTAAAAATGAGACTTCCCTGGGGGAATACATTTGCTCTTCTGTAACTCGGCATTAGCATCTCGGTTGGAGCCCTGACCCTATCACACACTGCATCTGTAAAATGGGTACATTAACACCCATACTGCCTGCCTCACAGGGCTGTTAAGAAGAATTTGCTTTACACAACTGTGGAATGCCACGGAAATGAGAGCTCCTGTTATTTCTGCCAGGGGCCTGGCCTTGAGGGAAAGGTGAGGCCTTCTGAGACAGTGCCCATTAAGCACAGTACCATATTTCTTTTTTTTTTTAACCAAACCTGTGATTTCATTGGTTTGGTGTAGGGAACTCCGTGTAAGAGACTCCCTCAATCAATTCAGTTTAGTGTCTTAGAGGAGTACCCAGAGCACTGAGAGGTTGTGACTTGCCCAGGGTCACACAGCTAATATATATCAAAGGCAAGATTTGAACTCAGGTCTTCCTACTTCCCAGACCAGCTCTCTATCTGTTATACTACACTTGCCTGTCTCACCTTGCTCATCAAAGGCGATTAATAATATTGGTCAAGATGAAGTAAGCTTTATTTCTCTGTCCCACTCATTCTATAACTGATCATTTAACCATGGATCCATTGGGTACCAAATTCTCAAAAAAAAAAATTATCCCACAAGGGGATGAAGGAACTGGGGATTTCAACCCAAAGATGAAAATATTCTGGAAGGAATGTGGTTCACAGCTGACTCAGTGATCTGAAGGTCTGTCCCATTAAAGAGGGATAAGCCTAGCTCTGACTGATCCCAGAGGGAAGAGCCAGGAACATGGGTGGGACTTAATGAGAGATAGATTACAGTCCACATAAGGAAACTTGGTGTAGTGGCTAGAGGGCTGGACCTGAATTCAAATACTGGAAGTCTGACCTCACTTCTATCTCATCTGTAAAATGGGCATGATAATATCTGCACTAGCTACCTCATAGGGCTGTTGTGGGTAATCATAATGATAGCTAGCATTTATATATGGCTTTAAGGCAGGCCTGCAGCCCACCAAAGGATTTAAACTCACAAAGATGAGTCTTCCTGACTCCAGGCCTGGTGCTCTATCCAACTTGCTGTATAGCTAGCTTCATCAGTGACATGTTAAAAAAAAAAAACAGGAAAACAAAACCAAATAAAAATGGTAGCTTTTTTATACAAGTTAGATGGTTAAGAAATACATAAATAGCAGCAGCACCTTCAGCCTTGGGTTGCTGCTTGCTCTCAACTCTGAAAGGGGCTCTGGGTTTGATGGGGTAGAATTTGTGGTTTGGACCAGCCCTTCTCTGCCCACATCAGTCCTACTGCATCAGAAGATATGCACTTGAAAAAGACCTAAAGGTTGTTCATGAAGTGGTCATCAGAAAGATTGCAACCTTTGTTTGTTTGGTTTTTTGTTGGTTTTTTTTTTTTGGTTGGGCCATGGGGATTAAGTGACTTGCCCAGGGTCACACAGCTAGTAAATGTTATGTGTCTGAGGTCACATTTGAACTCAGGTCCTCCTGAATCCAAGGCTGGTGCTCTATCCACTGCGCCACCTAGCTGCCCCAGGATTGCAACCTTTGAGTTATCATGAAGCATTGCCTTTTCTTGCATTCTCACTGTTTCTCACAGACAAAATCTCAAATTGCCCCTAATATAGCAAAGCCTTAGAACAAATTCATGTTTTCAAAACAAGCCTTATAACAAGGCTGTCTGTAAATCTGAAAATAATCTGCATGGAGATGGTAGACAAATCCATGGGAGTTGTCGTTCAGTGTTTTTTTCAATCCTACCCGACTCTTTGTGATCCCATTTGGGGTTTTTATTGGCAGAGATACTGGAGTGGTTTGCCATTTCCTTCTCCAGCTCATTTTGCAGATGAGGAAACTGAGATAAACAGGGTGAAGTGACTTGCCATGGGTCACCCAGCTACTGGGAGTCTGAAGCCAGATTTGAATTTATGAAGATGAGCCTTCCTGACTGAAGGCCCTGCATGCTGTGGCGCCAGTTAGCTGCCCTTAGAGGAAGAAAACCAGAACAGTGGGAGACACTGTTAGTGGGCACTGTAAGGATAAAGACCTATCAGTGAAAAAAGAGACGGAGTTGTTAGACAGTTGGGAAAGCCAGAAGAGGCTGGTGTCCTGAAAACCTAGAGTAAAGTGAAGTCAAAGAGAAGACGATAATCAACAAGAGAGGAGTTAAGAAGGATGGGAACTGAGAAAAGGTTGTTAGATCGGGCCAGTACCAGATCACTGGCGACTTTGGAGACAGCAATTTGGATGGAATGATGAGGTCAGAAGCTGGCGTGTAAGGTGTTTAAAAAATGGAGTGAGAGGAAAGGAATTAGAGGTACCTCAAGAAGTTTAGACCCAAAAGGTAGCAGAGATACAGAAGGAAAGCTATCAGCGACAAATGCATAACTAATGAAGGTTATTGGAGGATGGGGGAGCCTTGAAGGCAAACAGTAGACAGGAAGCAATTGAAGATTAGTGAAAGAGTAAGGATGAGAGGCATGTTGGTGGAGCAGTGGATAGAGCACTGCCCTGGAGTCAGGAGGACCTGAGTTCAAATCCAGCCTCAGACACTCAACCAGTTGTGTGACCCTGGGCAAGTCACTTAACCCGATTGTCTAGCCAAAAAAGAAAAAGAGAGAGTAGGGATGATAGAGCAGACAATTTGTTGGAGAAAAGGGGCCAGAGTGGTCTTACTTGTCAGTGTCCAGTGGTTTGGCTAAAACTAAGACAGCTGTATTTGGAGTGGTTTCTGTAAAGTAGCCATTCTTAAGCCCTTTTTGGTCTCAAGACCAGAGTCTTGCATGCTTAGATATTATTGAGGATGTGGGGCTAGGTGGCACAGTGGATAGAGCACTGGCCCTGGAGTCAGGAGGACCTGAGTTCAAATCTGGCCTCAGATACATAACACCTACTAGCTGTGTGACCCTGGACAAGTCATTTAACCCCATTGCCTAGCAAAAAGGAAAAAAAAAAGAAATTATTGAGGATGCCAAAGAGCCTTTGTTTATGTGGGTCCATATCCTTCAATACTAGAAATTAAAACTGAGAAATTTTTAAATAGCAGTTTATTTAATATAACAATAACAAATCCATTATATATTAACATAAATATTTTCGTAAAAAGTATTTTCCAAGAAAAAAATAGTGAGGAAAGTGATATTATTTTACACATGTCTTAATAGAAAACAACTGGATTCTCATACCTGCTTCTGCATTCGATCTATGGTAATATGGTCTTTTGGTTAAAGTACATGAAGAAAAATCTAGCCTCGCCCAGATCAGTAGCTGGAAAAGGGAGGAGTATTTTAGTAGGTGAATAACATCACAGAATTATTATGAGAAGTAGTTTTGACCTCATGGATTCCCTGAAAGGGTCCTGGGGACCTCCAGGGTTCCACAGACCATGCTATGAGAACCGTCACATGTTAATGACATCAGCCTTCGCTCCACTGGTGGGCACATGTCCCCCTGCAAACCTCCCCAGGAAACAGAAGGGAATGAGCACCTGTTTCTTGGGTCTCAGCAGCCAGTACCAACACTGTGAACTTTTCCCCAGCGTGTTTACATTTCACAGGAGTTCTCCAGGTCCCTTTCATCATCGATGAATGTCCCACTTTGCAAACCAGCTTTGAATTCTCTCCCCCTTCTTTTGTTTCGGTTTGGTTTTGGGTTTTTGGTTTTTTGTGTTGTTTTTTTTTCAGGCTAGACTCAGGAAACGGGGCGGGCACTATTCCTATTTTGTGCACATCAAAGCTCAGCTACATGATAGATGAAGCCCTGTACTTGCGGGCACAGTCCCTGCCCAAAGGCATTCTTTTCAAGTACAAATTGGTGGCAGGCAAGGGGAAATGTGGAACCTTATAAATGATCCTCTCAGAGAATGTTTCCTGGCTTTCCAGGGAATCGAGCTGGTTCTCACCAATTGGCATTCCAACCACTCCTGCACGGAGTGCTAGACACAGGGGTGATGGGCACCTCTAAAGTTGTGGGGGATGGGGAATAGTGAGTCAGGGAAGAGGAGGTAGAAACCAGAAATCTTCACTTCCTCTGCAGCTGAGACTTTCAAAGGGGAGGGAAGGTGAAGAAAGCAGTCAGAGGCTGCTGGGTGTCAGAGTGGAAAGAGCGTTGGGCCTGGAGTCAGGAAGACCTGAATTCATATCTGACCTCAGACACTACCAGTGTGACCCTGAGCAAGTCATTTGACATCTGTTTCCTCAGCTAACATTTATATAGCACTAAGCCCTTACAGAACATCTAGGTAGTGGAGTGGATAGAGCACTGGACCTGGAGTCAGGAAGACTCATCTTCCTAAATTCAGGACTGGCCTCAGATGCTTCTTAGCTGTGTGACCCTGGGCAAGTCACTTAACCCTGTTTGCCTCAGTTTCCTCATCTGTAAAATGAGCTAGAGAAGGAAATGGCAAACCACTCCAGTATCTTTGCCAAGAAAACCCCAATTGGGGTCATGAAGAGTCAGACATGACTGAAAACAACTGAACAAAAACAACATATAGTGATGTCTTATCTGTGTATATGTGTCCCACCAGGATAATGTCAGCCCCTTGTGCCTAGCAAAATGCCTAAAACAATTTGTTGTTGCTGTTTAAACACCACATCAGTGATTCCATTTGTCTAGGGAACTTCCAGACTGAGAATAAAGTCTCTCTACCATGCGGCTTGGGACCTCCTATGAAATTAGTTTTAGAGGACTGTTTCTGGTCCTGAGAGGTTAAGTTAAATGAACTTAACTTAGGTTAACCCACAAGTTAACCTGCCCAGGGTCACAAAGCTAGTATGTGTCAGCAGCAAGATTTGAACTCAGATCATTCTGAATTCAGGCCAGCTCCCTATACACTGCACCACATTGCCTCTTCCCTGGCATATAGTTAGCATTTAATCATTTTTTCTTGACTGGCATTAAATGAAACCCCAGCCTTTTCTCCTGAAAATCACTTCAAGATGGCAATTGCTTAATGATGTAAAGAAGGCAACAGATTTCACTTAATAACCTTGGGAGAGAGGGAAAGGGAGGGTCTGAATGGGGCTCGATAGCCAGGTCCCACATTCCTGCCACTTCTTTCTTTCCATCACATGGGATGACCTCTCCCTCTTTCCTCAGGTCTTCAAAAGCTCATGGAGATGGTGCGTGAAGATGCCAGGAGAACAGTCTGTGCAGAAGAGGATTCCAAAAAGTTTACAAGGTAGTGTACCGTGCTAGGTTGAGGAAAGGATGGGGAGCAAGTCCCCCTTTCCCTATAGATCCATACAGAGGTGAGAGGCTACCAGGATTGGCCAAAGCCCCAAAGACACTGAGACTGAACATTCAGGCCACCACCCACCACAGTACCCTGGTTCTTTGGCAAACACCCACTCCTACCAGCCCAGGAGAACAGAGATTGCAGGTTAAGGGACAATCCATGTCCCGGTCCCCTGGAAGGGCACAGAGCACAGACCCAAAGGATATGATCCAATTGTTCTCCAAACTGCCTCCTATGGACCAGGACACCAGGGAAACAACCGAAGAATGACTGACTCAGAAAGGGAAATCCCTGGCAGACAAACAAAATGCAGCCATATTGGAAGCCTTATCAGGGTCTATGCCTCTTTCTGAGATGCCCCTTCTCACAGTGGGGTCCCCAGAATGGGCAGATTGAGGCATTCTAGGGGTCCATACACGCTCAAACTTATGGACCACAAGCCCCCAACAATGAATTTCTTTTTACTAGTGAGGCAGAGGACACAAGTAATGCAGAATAAAGGGTTGTAATAAATTAGCATAGCAAGAAAAGTAGCAATAGAACATTTTCCCCCTAGACCTAGGCAGGGGCTCCCAAAAATAAACATATCACCAGACACCCAGGGAGGGGCACACGTTTCGGGAACAAGTTGTCTGGGCAGTGGAATTGCTTCAGGCTCTGATGCTTCATTGTTGTCCAGTCATTTTTCAACTGTGTCCAGCTCTTCTTGACCCTATCTGGAGTTTACTTGGCAGAGATACTGGAGTGATTTGCATTTCTTATTTGACAGAGAGAAAACTGAGGCAAACAGCATTAAGTCACATAGCTAGTTAGTGCCTGAAGGTGGATTTGAACTCAGTCTTCCTGACTCCAGGCCCAGCACTCTATCCACTGAGCCACCTAGCTGCCTTAACCTCCAAACGTTTAGGGTTTTCATGTGCATAGGGAGGAAAGGAGTAGGAAATAAGCATGTAAGCTCCTACTGTGTACCAGGCACTGTGCTACAAATATTTCATTTGAGCAGAGAAGAAGTAGAACTACTAGTCCCATTTTTCCTGTGTGAGCTTGGATTCCAGGTCCTATAGTATTCCACCCTTTAAATATAATCTCTGTCTTTGTCAAGAAATGACATGGGATCCCACCACTTGAAGGAAGGAATCTCAGGAAATCAACTAGTCTATCCTTTGTCTCGAGTCAGAACAGAATTCAAACACTTTGGATTTGGTAAATGGTTTTTTGGTTTTTGTTTTTAATTCAATCAGGTGATTTCATGGTATAAGGAACTCCCACTAAGGAAAATCTCTCCACCAATGTAGGTCAGCCATATTCTGCAATGTTTATTCCATGAGAGTTGCCTGGTGAGCTGAGAGGTTTATGTGACTTGCCCAGGGTCGCACAGGCACTTTGTGTGCAAGGCAAGACTGAAATCCAGACAGCATGACACAGTAACTAGGAAGATCGTACCTCATTGAAGGTCTTCACACAAAGTCTGGATGACTCCTTTTGGGGTCCTCCAGCAGGAGCCTGGCCCTTTCAGATATGTGGTTATGAGGGGTTACTTGTCAGATAGAGGAGAGTCAACTACATGGCTGCTAAGACTGCTTTCAATTCTGAGATTCTGGGATGCCACAATTTCCAAAAAAGGAAATTCTGTAATTCCCTCATGGACCCTTGAGATTCATTGGCTGAGCAATGGTGTCAAACTCAAAGAGAAAGAGATCCATGAAAACCACAAATTAACATTGTCTCCATTGTACTGTATTTTTATTTATTTTACTAACACTTTCATCTGGTTCTGCCAACTTTACTGGGTTCTAGTAGAGCGGTGTTGGATTCACAATCAGGAATACCTGGCTTCAATCCCACCTCAGACTCTTTACTGACTGTGTGATCCAGGCCAAGTCACTTAATCTCTGTTTGCCCCTGTTTCCTCACCTGTAAAATGGGGACAATAATAACACCTACCTCATAGGGCTATCATGAGGATCCTTTTGCAAACTGCAAAATCCATAAAAAGAAGGCTGTAGATTTGGTGGCCTTTAAGATCCCTTCCAAGTCTCAACTGTGATCTTATGATCCTATGACCATGTTAAGAAGAAATGTTTCTTGTCTTACAGCACTGTGCCCATCCTCAAGCCCTTGATGAAGAGTGAGATGGATTCTGCCCAAAAATCCAGGTAGGTAAATGTGATGTGCCCTACCCGACACTGGTTAGTCAGTCAGCCAACAGATGTTTATTAAGAGCTCCTTAAGTACCAGGCACTTGTGCTTAATGCTATAAATACAAAGACAATCCCTGCCCTCAAGGAGCTTACAATCTAATGGAGGAAAAAACAAACAAATACGTACAAGCAAGTTGTATACAAGACAAATGGAAACTAAATGAGAACTGAAGAATTGGGGATGACACTCAGACTGTAAGCCTGAGTGACTGGGACAAGGGTAGTGACCTCCTAGGGGAGGGGCCTCCAACCCCCACCCCAGTTGGTCCAGAGTCTGGGGGCCAATCCTCTCCCTGTTCCCTCTTCACCTTCCTGATGACTGGCAGGGAATGTGGTCAGTGAGAGTCAGAGCCTAATGCTACAAGACAGGCGAGTTCAGGTCCTTTTGATCACCGCTGGAATGTAAATCATTTTATTGGAAAGGCCACAGTTGGCCAGGGAAGTCTTTGTAAGAAGAGAGAGACAGAGACAGAGAGACAGAGAGAAAGAGAGAGTGAGATAGATAGAGACAGAGAGAGAGACAGAAAGAGAGAGAGATTAACACTAAAAGGACCAGGTGCATCAATTGGTGCAAAATTTTTATGATAATTATTATAATTTATCTCTATTTTCTTTGTCTTATAGATTAAAAAATCACGCTCTGGGTCATCTGACACAGCTTGCTATTCCATGTGTTCTTAAATTCAGGTTCTTCTTTAAAAGTGAACAGGATCTCACTGCCCTCTAGGGGTATTTTAGAGATGGTCTAATTTTAACCATTTTTTTAAAATCTTATTAAAATACAAGCATATTTTAGTTATCTTCTATATTTTGCATGAACAGTAGACAGGAGTCTACTCACCTCTACCCAAGTGACTTAAGTCTAGTTGGAAGAAGACATGCTCTCTATTTCCCCCCTCTCCCATGCCCACCACACCCACTCCCACATTGCTGTCCCCAGATCTGGCCTTTTTCCTGACCTTCAGACCCACATTTCACACTAGACCACTCCCTAGATCTCTTGCTAGCACCTCAAACTCAGCATGTCCCAAACTGAACTATTCAGCATGGCTAAAGATCTATTTGCCTTAAGGGCTTCCTTCTTCCTACCAATGACATCATTTTCCCACCCCCAGGGTAAACCTTCGGTGTGGTTTTCAACTCCTCTCTCTCTCCCTTACCCACTCCCTTCTGGTCAATTTCCAAGTGCTATCGAGTCTACCTCCACAACGGCTCTTTGCACTGACTCTGTCAACCCCATGTATCCTTGGACAATTCACTAAAAATCTCTGGACCTCAATTTCCTATTATGTAAAATGAGGAGCTTGAACTAGATGATTTCTAAGGTCCCTTCCAACTCTTGATCTATGACTCTCTATTCTTCTTTACTTTCATTGCCCTGCCTTAGTTCTGTCCCTCATTACCTCTCACCTGGACTATTACAATTGCCTCCTAAGTAGATGCCCTACTGGGAGTGAGGAGGTTCTAAGGGACTCTTAAGGGCAATTGTAGTCAACAGCTCAACATGTCTGCCAAAAATATCAAATGTGATTTCAGTCTGCATCGACAGACATAGTGCCCAGAACTAGGGAGAGAATGTCATAGTTCTGCCATTATCAGATCTCACCTGGACCATTGTCAGGTCATTCACTTGGACTTGAGACCTTGTAATCCAGCCCCTTCATTTGACAGGGCCAGAGAGTCCAAGTCGCTTGCCTGGGGTCATGTGGCTAGTCCATGCAGGAGTCAGGATTTGAATCCAGATAGATCTTCCTGGCTCCCAAGTGTAGCATGGTAGCCACTATACCCCAAGTTAAATTGTAGGTACTACCTTTTAGGACCTTGGTAAACTGAAGAAAGTCCAAGGGTGGTCAAGAGGCTTCAAGATCATGCCTTATAAGGGTGTATTTTAAAAGCTGTGGTTGTCTAGCCTAGAAAAGAGAGCCCTCAGCAGAGGAACAAGCTAGCTTCTTTCCAGTATCTGAAGGGATAGCAGGTGAAAGATGGCAGAACAAGGAGCCATGAATGGAAGTCACAGAGAGGCCAATTTGCCAAGTCTGACAGTGCTTCAAGAGTGGACTAGACTATCTCAGGGAGGCAGTGAGTTCTCCCTCGATGAAGGTCTTCAAGGAGAGATTGAATGCCCACTTTGGGAGTACTTTTCTTTGCAGTAGAGGGTGGATTTTCTACTCTGCTATGGCACAGACCAGATGGTTCCTGGGGACCTTTGTGGCTCTCAATATCTGTGTATCTGTCTTTTGTACATAGAATCTCAGAGATGGAAAGGACCTTAGAGATTGTCTAGGCCAACAGCACCCCCATTTTACAGATAGGGAAACTGTGGACCACAGAGGGGTGACTTTACCACAGCTCCCATTCTATGTTAGCGGCAGAGCTGGGAAGTCACTCAATCCTGTGTCGATGGAACTGGCCCTCTCTAACCAGGCCTTTGGTGTGAGTTAAAAAGGTCTCAAAGGCCCCAAATTCTTCTCCAACATGCCAGCCAGGATACCTTCTCCACTCTTATTACCACTCTCCTCTACCTGAGAATAATGACCAGTAGAGTTTTTAATAGGTAAAACAAAAGAGAAAAAATGGGTGGGGGCAATTCTTCACATTTAGCAGAGAGTAAGCTGACACCTGAGGTCTAAAGCAATGAGCTTAGACAATGATGAACTTGGAATATAGAGGTTCTGTAGCTTGGGGTGAGGAAGGAGGATGGAGCACTAGGCATGAGGTCAAGTGGCAGTGGTCCCCAAGGAGACTTTAGTCATGAGACCCCAATTATTTAACATATTTACAAATTTATTAAACCCAAAGACATATAGATCCTCCATTATTACTCTGTGCCCAACCCAGTGCTTTAGCCCTGAAGACTCAAGAGAAATCTAAAATGGGACCCCTATCCTCAAGGAACTTCTTATCCATCTGGGGAGTCAAAACATAGTCACACCAGACAAAATATGAGATAAGGTGCTAAGGGAACCTGAGCTGGCACTCCGGCAGAGTGGCCACGGTAGTGGCTAAGATGTAGGCAGAAGGGAAAAAAAAAAAAGGAAAGGCACTCCAGAAGGGAGGGACAGCACCAGCAAAGGCTCAGAGGTGGGAATGAGCCTGGAATGGTCCTGAAAAGGACAGGGCCCAACTTGTATATTGTGACTACTGGTTCCCCTCACACAAATCAACATGGCTCTGAATCAGAAGAGGCACAGAGCCAAGCAAGAAGCAAAGTCCGCAAGGTTTCAAAGATTATCCTTCCTTTGTCTTACAGCATAACCGATAAGTCAAGCAGCAGCAGCACAGAGAGTATCCAGCGGCCTAAGAGGTAAGCAGAGTGTGTGAGTGTGTGTGAGTGTGTGTGAGTGTGTGTGTGTGTGTGTGAGTGTGTGTGTGAGTGTGTGTGAGTGTGAGAGTGTGTGTGTGTGAGAGAGAGAGAGAGAGTGTGTGTGAGTGTGTGTGTGAGTGTGAGAGTGTGTGTGTGTGTGTGAGTGTGTGTGGGTGGGTGTGAGTGTGGGTGGGTGAGTGTGAGAGTGTGTGTGTGAGAGTGTGTGTGTGAGTGTGAGTGTGTGTGACTGTGTGTGTGTGTGTGAGTGTGTAAGAAGCCACGAGCCAATTGCTTGCTGAAATGTTAGTCTTAGTCATTGAGACTCTATTGCATTTCATTAGGAAAGGGGAAAGGGGGGGAGAAAAGAGATCTGAGGGCCAGAGGGGACCGCAAGCTCAAAGTAAGTCTTGGGGGTAAAAAAACCAGTGAAATCACAGGCTGCATTAAGAAACATGCCCATGATGGGGCGGTTAACAGTCTGGTTGTAGCCTGCCCTGAATGAACCGCATTTCAAGTATTATATTAGATCTGGATTCCACATTTTATCAAGGATATTGATAATCTAGAGAGCTTCAGGTCAAGTCAACCAGCATTTATTAAGTGCCTGCTGTGTGCTAGGCACTGTAGTAAGCACTAGAGATACAAAGACAGGGAAAATAGTCCCTGCCTTCAAGGAGTTTACAGTCTAATGGAGGAGATAGCCTGCAAACAGCTATGGACAAACCAGATTGCTTCAGGATAAATGGAGGGTGGTCTCAGAGAGGAGGCACTGGCATTAAGGGGGACCAGGACATGGTTCTGGCAGAAGGTGAGATCAAGTATAGAATCTTCTGGCATTCAGGGGCCTTCATCACCCAGCCCCCCTCCCACCTTTCCAGTCTTCTTACACCCTACTCCCCAGCACATACATTTGATGCTAGAGATAACAGGGAGCCCTCAGAGTTATTGAGTAGAGGAGTGACGTGATCAGACCCACACTTTAGGAAGATTCATCTGGTAGCTGAGTGGGCTTTGGATTGGAGTAGGGAGATTTGAAGCAGGCAGGACCACCACCCCCCCAGCAACTATTGCAACAATCCACTTATGCAGTGATAAGGGCCTGTCCCTGGGTGGTGGCAGCGGCAGAGGAGAGAAGGAACAGTATAGAAAAGATGGGTGATGGGGACGGTGCCAGGTCTCAACTTGGAGACATATGAATGAGTGAAGGAAGGAACAGACGCATGAATGAATGAAAAAAGCCTTTACCATTCCCTTACTACATGAGAGGCACTGCGCTGAGCTCTGGAGACGCAAGTAGAAAAAGAAGACAGTCCCAACTCTCCAGGAGTTTGTGTTCTGCTTGAAAGAAACACCACATAAAACACATCTGGCCTCAGGATGCATGGAAAGTCCTGAAGTCCCAATGGGGCATCAGTGGGTCAGACGGCAAGGCCCAAAGTCCTTAGGCTGGATCTTTAGGTCAGATGACGGTGTCAGGGGCACCGATGTCTAAGGGGCTGAGACAGGTAGGAGAAATGATGCCCAGGGCATCTGCCAAAGGTTAGGGAGCCATATTGTAGGGGGGATCCGTGTGGGTACTTTCTCCAAACTCAAACGACTTACCACAATTTTAAGAGGAGGAGGAGGAGTGGTGGTAGTAGTAGTAGTAGTAGTGGTGGTGGTAGTGGTGGTGGTAGTAGTAGTGGTGGTGGTGGTAGTAGTAGTAGTAGTAGTAGTAGTAGTAGTAGTAGTAGTAGTAGTGGTGGTGGTAGTAGTGGTAGTAGTAGTTGTTGTCATTGTCATTGTTGTTAATGCTAGAGGCTTACAAGCCTCACTCCCACACGGCTCTGGGAGCCAGCTCTGCTTGGGCCCTGACAGCCTTGAACTTACTCAATCACACATATACCATCCCAGTCATCTGTCCGTAGAGCCATGTGGGTGACGGGGATTTAAGATGCCTGCCTTAGTACTAGATTTCAGATATACTGCACAGGCAAATAGGAAGAGGAAAGAAAAAGTGTGGTTTACTTCACCGTACTTCATCTCTTCAATCCACATGTCTAAAGTATACCTGTTTCCCCCTTTTCCACTCCCCCTCATACTCCTGCCCTCTAAAGTAGGGGTGATAGGACAGTGCTACTTCTGTGCCCTGGGGCTGGGCTAAGGATTCTTCTAGGATGGGGCAGGAGAGACAAGACTTATTTGAGAGAACAGGCTTGAGCTAAGTGTCAGGCCACTGATGGGATATCAGGCTGTGTGGCAACAGACCACCTAGAATTTCCCATAATCTCGCTCTGGACTCACCCAGCCAGGAGGAAAAGAGATGCCCTTAGCCCAGTCCAGCATCATGGATTACTGATACCCTCCCACTCATCACTACCCACAGGAAGACCGAGAGAGTAGAATTTCTATGATTTCTCCCACAGTCTGGGAATTCTTCTTGAAACCTACTCCCTAGCTTCCTTCTGAATCTTGAACAGTCTGCAGGACACCTGAGCCATACAGAACACACAACAACATAGAGGTGTTTCACCTCCTAATATAGCCCTCATTCCTCCTAACACAGATTCAGTCTTAAGCTTTTATTACTCAGTCTTTGACTCTGAATTAAGAAGAACAGAATGGCTTATTAAAAACTTTCCAGGACGTTCAGTACTATTCAGTACTTCCAAGCCACACCTCAGGCACTACAGGGCTGTCAGTATCCTCGGGTGATGCCAGCATCCTTTTCTGAATTGCTCTATACTATGCAACTCTGCTGATCACCAAGGCAATCTCTTCGGTCATCTTTTAGACATCAGCTATTTATTTATCCTCTTTGGGGCAGCTAGATGGTGCTAGACCTGGAGTCAGGAAGACCTGAGTTCAAATCCAGCCTTGAATACTTATTAGCTATGTGACCCTGGGCAAGTCCCTCTCTCTTTTTTTTTTTAGTATCTTATTTTTCCCCAGTTACATGTAAAAACAATTTTTAACATTCATTTGTAAAACTTTGAGTTCCAAATTCTCTCCCTTCCCACCCCCCTCATTGAGAAGGCAAGCAATTCAATGTAGGTTATACATGTATAGTCATGCAAAACATTTCCATAATAGTCATGCTGTGAAAGAAAACATAAACCAAAAAAAAAAACCTTAAAGAAAAATAAAGTTAAAAAAGTATACTTCTATCTGTATTCAGACACCATCAGTTCTTTCTCTGGAGATGGATAGCATTTTTCATCATAAGTCCTTCAGAGTTGTATCATTGTATTGCTGAGAATAGCTAAGTCATTCACAGCTGATCATCGCACAATGTTGCTGTTACTTTGTACACGGTACATTTCACTTTGCATCAGCTCATGTAAGTCCAGGTTTTTCTGAGAGCATCCTGCTCATCATTTCTTATAGCACCATAGTATTCCATCATAATAATATACCACAATTTGTTCAACCATTCTCCATTTGATGGGCATCCCCTCAATTTCCAATTCTTTGCCTCTAGAAAAGAGCTGCTATAAATATTTTTGTACATATAGGTCCTTTTCCTTTTTGTTTTTTCTCTCTCTTGGGATGCAAGACCTAATAATGGTATTGTTAGGTTAAAAGGTACGCATGGTTTTATAGCCCTTTGGGCATAGCTCCAAATTGTTCTACAGAATGGTCGAATCCATCCACAACTCCACCAACAATGCATTAAGGTCTCATTTTTCTCACATCCTGGGCAAGCCATTTAACTCTGCTTGCCTCAGTTTCCTTATCTGTAAAATGAGCTGCAGAAGGAAATGGCAAACCATGCCAGTATCTCTACCAAGAAAACCCCAAATGGGGTCATGGAGAGTCAAACACAATTGAAACAACTGAATGCACAATATTTAGCCTTCTTAGCTATTTAGCCTTCATACCACCTGCAGATGTTCAGAGGCTAGAAAGCCTCACCCTTACAAGGATAAATTGATTCTATATTCATTCTGCTCTAAGCACGGCTCTAAGACAAGACAAGACAACCAGACAAGGGCAGCAGAAAGCTGAATGAAAGCTCATTGTTTTTATCCCCTTTCCCCTGAAACCAGCTTAAGGTCCTCTGGTCCCAAACAACCATCTCACTTGGGGTTAGAAAATTCTTTTCAGTGATTATAAAAGTCCTGATTTTGAGACCACATCCCCAAACTGTATCTCAATGGTTCCACCTTAAGAAGCTCTGTGGGGCCTGGGGTTAAAAGGCTCCCTCACTCCCCAAATCTGCTTTGGTTTTCATGCAAATAAAGCCAGGGACAAGAATAAAAGGCTATATGAAGCTGGCAGAGCCACATTCCTGCTATTATTACACACATCTGCCAGCAACAAAAGCATAGTCTTTTGTGGCATGTTCTGACTAGGTCAGCCCTGAATAGTGTCCCTGCATCTACATGAGGCAAGCCTCTGTCTGTAAAGCTAAATTATGTTCATCACTAACAAAGGCATTGTACTGGAGGAACAGTTATAAGACACAGGAGGACACTGCAGCTGTCCTCAAGTATCTGAAGGACTGTTGGGCGATAGAAGAGTTGGACAGCAGTGGGTACAGGTGGCAAACATTTCACCTTGGTGTAGGAAAAAACTCTTAAATGCTCAGAGCTCAAGTAGGAACAGCTAGGTGGTTCAATGGATAGAGTGCCTGGAGTCAGGAAGCCTCATCTTCCTGAGTTCAAATCTAGCCTCACGCACTTCCTTAGCTGGGTGACCCTGGGCAAGTCACTACACCCTGTTTGCCTCAGTTTCCTCATTTGTAAAATGAGCCGGAGAAGGAAATGGCAAACCACTCCAGTATCTCCATCAACAAAACCCCAAATAGGGTCATGATGAGTCTGACACAACCGAAATGATTCAACAACAGGAGTCCCAAAGCAGAATGTCCTGAGGAGTTAGTGGCTTTACAAGGCTCTTCATGCTGATGCTAGACGACCCCTTGTTGATCATCAACCCCTTGGAGGGAGAAGGGCTTCCTGTTCAAGTCCTAATTAGATTATGTGGAGTCTGAGAATCCTTCTGACTCTGAGATTCTGTGATCATTGATTATCAACTCTGCCCTTAACATCTGCCAGGATCCTGTGCCCCACCATCTCACCCCATCATCATTTAACTTACCCTAGACACTGATCTCAAGTGGTTTCAGAAGGACAGACTATAGCATTACCATCCCAGTAGTTTAATCGAAGTAACTCAAGTCAAAAAGTATTAAGTAAGTGAAGGTATAAAGAAGGGCACAAAAAATCTTTGTTGCTTTCCAAATCCTATAAAAACAATATGAGGTATCTCTGGTGAAGAGATGCGGGAGTCTCTGAGCATAGGAAGAAGTCCAGAGATGCCCAGAGGATGGGGAGTTTGGGGGAGGTTGCTATAATTAGAAAGAATTATAGGGCAAGGAGGTTGGGGTGAGCTTGTCAGGGGTGGAGGTGCTCAGGAGGAGGAAGTGCACCCCCAGGAAATCCAAAGGAATGGGATAGGGGGTGAGAAGTGTAGCCACCAGAGGGAGGGAGCTCGTAGCACCCTGAGGCACAGTCCTGTTGCCCACATCCTAGTTTTGGCTGTACTTGAGGGGACGGATAGAAAGGGGAGAATCAAAGCAATACTCTTGTTTGGCGCTGGTCAGGCATGTCTCCAGACATAGATCAGACCAATGAGCACAGCCTGACTCTTGGGGGTCTCTTGGCATATGAGTTCCTGGGACTACCTGAGCCTTGAGAAGCAATGTGGCAGAGAGGACAGAGGACTGGACAAGGAGTTCAGAAGTCCTGAGTTCAAGTCCCAACTATGACACATGCCTTCTGTGTGACCCTGGGCAAGTCACTTAACCTCTAGGTCCCCCATGATGCTTCCAAATTGCCAATCCAAATCAGCAGAGGGGATTTCCACACTGGGAAGTCCCCACGCACTGATGAGAAATCAAAGGCCCAGACCAAAAAATGAGCCAGACAAAAAAACCTTCAGCCCTCACCTCACCCAAACCTAGCCCAGCCTCATGGTTTCGTCTTTCATGTTTCTCTCTCTGCAGCTATCCCTCTGATGTGTCAGACGCCAAGATGAACGTGTGTGCCAACATGAGAGCCAAGTTTTTCAGCGTCGCGCAGGAAGCTGGTTTCTGCCTACAGGACAGACTAGAAATTCTCGCCAAGTAAGACTCTCCATAGATGGGCCAAAAGGCACCATGACTTAGAGTTTTAAAGGCTCAATGGGAAGACAGGAGTTATATCCTACCTGTGACTCTCACTAGCTGGGGGACTGTCCAGTCCCTCTCGTCTCTCAGGTTGGGGGCAACCCACCTAACCTGTCTGGGCTTCAGTTTGCTCATCTGTAAAATGAAAGGTGTGAGACCAGGTGACTTCCAAGGTCACTTACAGCTGCTAACCATCCTATGAATGAATGAAAAGGTATTAGTTAAACTCTTACTATGTGTCAAGCACTGTACAAGGGCTGAGATGACAAAATGCAAAGAGTAAGCTAGACTTAAAACACACACTTAAAAGTATGTCTTGCTTTTTCAGAGAGAGGCTGGTAAACATTTAGCAGCACATCACTGTCTATAATCCTATGAGCTGCTCTCTAGGCCTTGACCCAAATCTTAATTTTGCCAATAGCATGGACTCAAAGACTCTGAAATGAGGGCAAGTTCAGCCGTAGCATGGGAAAGTAATGAGGCAGTCATTGAGAAATTTGGCATCCTAAAGAAGGAAAGATGAGAGGGGAGGGAATTAGCATTTATAAAAAGCCCACTGTGTGCCAGGCACTGTGCTAAGCACTTTTTGCAAACATCATCTCATTTGATCCCACAACAACCCTGTTATTATTATCCCCATTTTACAGTTGTAGAAATTGAGGCAAAGAGAAGCAAAATGACTTTTCCCACAGTTCCACAGCTAGTATCTAAGGCTGGATTTGAATTCAGGCCTTACTGACTTCAGGTCTTGCTCACTATTCACTGGGCCACCAGCTGTCTCTAAGATGATTTCCCTGATACCTTACCTCCATGGGGTGAAATAGAACTTGAAAGAATCCACCAATCACCTCCTGAAATAGATCCCAAAATGAAAACTTCTAAGAATATTATAGCCAAATTGTAGAGCTCCCAGGTCAAAGAGAAAATACTTCAGGCAGCCAAAAAAATCATTAAAATACTGTTTAGCCACAGTCAGAATCACACAAGATTTAGCATCTCCCACATTAAAGAAGCAGAGAGCTTGGAATATGATATTCCAGAAGGTAAAGGGGCTAGGATTACAATCAAGAATGACCCACCCAACCAAACCAAGTATTATCCTTCAGGGAGAAAAATTTATATTTAGTGAAACAGAGGACTTTCAAGCATTCCTGATGAAAAGACCAGAGTTGAATAGAAAATTTGGCATTCAAACACAAGACTTAAGAGAAGTATAAAAAGGGTAAACATGAAAGAGTAATCAACTGTTTACATTTTTATATGGAAAGATGATACACGTAACTCCTAAGAATTTTACCGTTATTAGGGCAGTTAGAAGGAGTCTATATAGTCAGAAGGCATAGGTATGAGTCAATTAATGTTGGGATGATCTCCAAAAAACTGTAGGGGTGAGAGAGAGGAATGCACTGGGGGGAGGAGGAAAGGGAGGGGTAGAATGTGAAAGTTTTTCTTACATAAAAAAAGGTGCACAAAGAAGAGCTTTTATAGTGAAGGCAGAAATGGGGGCATGGCAGGCTATGCTTGAACCTCAGTCTCACTGGAATTAATCCAAAGAGCGAAAAATATATATACACACTCAGTTGTATGTAGAAATGTAACTTACCCAATAAAGAAATAGGAGGGAAAGGGGATAAGAGAAAGTGGAGAAGTGAATCACAAAAGGAAGGACATATTGAGGAAGACAGTGGTTAGAAGCAAAATAGACTTTTGAGTAGGGACAGGATAAAGAGAGAGAGAAGGAGGAGGAGGAGGAGGGATGGAGAGAAATATACAGTAATCATAACTCTGAGTGTGAATGGGATGAGCTCACTCATAAAATGCTTCCCATAAAATGGAAGCAGATAACAGAATGGATCAGAAACCAGAATCCAACAATATCTTCTTTATAAAAGAGACACTTAAAACAGAAAGATACGGAGTTAAAATAAAGGGCTGGAGCAGAATCTAATATGCTTCAGCTGAATTAAAGGCAGGGGTAGTGATCATGATCTCAGACAATGCAAAAACAAAAATAGGCTTAAGGGATAATTAGGGAAACCACATTTTTCTAAAAGATGCCATAGACAATGAAATAATATTAAAATTTTTCACAGCATGTTTCTCTGATAAAGGCATAATTTCTCAAATCTACACTATGTATAGAACTGAGTTGTATTTGTAAAAATAAGAGCCATTCCTCAATTGATATTGGTCAGAAAATATAAACAGGCAGTCTTCAGAAGAAATCAAAGCTATCTATAGTCATATGAAAAAATGCTCTAAAAATGTTCTACATGTATTATCCTCCCATATGGAAATGTAAAAAGTTTAAGTTTATGATTACTCTCATGTTTACCCTTTTTATGATTCTCTTGAGTCTTGTGTGTGAATGACAAATTTTCTATTCAGCTCTGGTCTTTTCATCAGGAATGCTTGAAAGCCCTCTATTTCATTAAATGTCCATTTTTCCCCCTGAAGAATTATACTCAGTTTTCTTGGGTGGGTTATTGGTTGGAGAAAGGCAAAGTAAAAACAACTCTTGAAGTACCACCTCATACCTATCAGAAGTAACAAATGTTGGAGAGGAATAAAAAATAAATACACTACTGAACTGTTGGTGGAGTTGTGAACTGATCCAACCATTCTGGAGAGCAATTTGGAACTATGCCCAAAGGGCATTAAAACTGTGCATACCCTTTGACCCAACAATCCCAATACTAGGTCTGAATCCCAAAGAGATCAAAGAAAAAGGAAAATGACTTACATGTACAATAATGTTTATAGCAGCTATTTTTGTGGCGCAAAGAATTAGAAATTAAGGAGATGCTAATCAATTGAGGAATGGCTGAATTGTTGCTTTGTCAGTTATTCATGTCCTACTCTTTGTGACCCCATTTGGCATTCTCTTGGCAAAGATCTTTGAGTGGTTTGCCACTTCCTTCTCCAGCTCATTTTACAGATGAGGAAACTGAGGTAAATGGGGTTAAGTGACTTGCCCAAGGTCACTAAAAAGTATCTGAGGCTGGATTTGAACTCAGGTCCCTCTGACTCCAGGGCCACGCTCTATCCACTCTGCTACCTATCTGCCTCAACAAGTTGTGACATATGATTTGTTATAGAGTACTATTGTGCTATGGGGCATGACAAGGGGGATGGTTTCAGAAAAACATGGCAAGACCTGTATGAACTGATGCAAAGCGAAACGAGAAGAACCAGGAGATCACGGGGCACAGTAACAGCAATGTTGAAGTGATGATCAACTGTGAAAGACTTGGCTACTCCAATGCAATGAGCCAAGACAATTCCAAGAGACTCATGATGAAAAAAAAAGCTATCCACCTTCTGAGAGAGTGAACTGATGAACTCTGAGGACAAGCTGAAGTATGATTTTCTCACTTTATTTTTCTTGAAATATGGCTAATATGGAAATACGTTTTAAATGATTTCACATGTATAACTGATAGAATATTGCCGGTCTTCTCAGTGGGTGTGGAGGGGTGGAAGAGAGAATTTGAGACTCAAAATTTAAAAAGAAAACAATTATATAAATAAATAATAAAAAAACTGTTAAATTCTTAAAAAGAAGAAAAAACAGAAGCAGCATAGTCCAGTCAGCATGGACTGAGTTCAGAATACCTGGGTTCAAAGCCCACCTCTGGCACGTCTGGGCTGTTTGACAAACTGTGGCCAAATCACTTCTCCCCTTCAATGTTCCTACTCAAGGGTGCCACCACACACCTCTGATACTGGATGGCATGTGGAGCTTGGGAAGGGGAGGGGTGGTGATTGATAGAACCAGGTCTGAAAAGAGGGATCAAAGTCTAGCAAGGCAGCAGACTATAAGGGTGGGGGAGAAGGTTCAGGGGAAAGAATGAGTCAGAGGGGCAGAGCTTGTCCTCCTGAGCCACATGCAGGGTTCTGAGAGATGGTGGTGGGAGGGGAAGGGCTTATGCCCTGGAGACAAGCAGCTTTCTTTTTTCAAAGCCAATCAAAGAGAAAACAGCCTGAGAAACACTGTGCCAAAAATCTATTCTGTCACCAGTAAATGTCTAAATATATTCTGGTAGTTAAAACATGCAAATTCTATTGGCCACCCTGCCTGCCAAAAATGATATTGGTATGAACATTAAACACACCTGTCTTGGGACTTGTCCAGGGATGGGCTAGGAGTCCCTAAAACAGGGATCTTCACCTGATGATTCCATCAGTAATGTTGATGGACCGACCTCTTCAAGGAGAAGCTAAGGGAGAAATCAATATTCTGGCTTCATCCTCAGCCACTAACAGTCACCCCTTGCTGCTTCATAGTCTCTTGAAAATGCCAGCTGCCCATCTGGACCACATCTGGCAAGTGGGGAAAACTCTCAGGTGCATTTGGAGCCGACGTATTCTTACTATCACCATCACCACTAACAATAACCCCGTTACCCCCATGGGCATAAACCCACTGGACCAGTCCCACAAAGAAATAAAAGATACTACTAAAAATTCATTTATTTCATAAGCACTTGCTAAGCATCTAACTGTGTACCCACCTTGGAGGAAGCAAGGGAGTCAATATTAGAGTGAATTCCAGTTGCTTGAGAGCAAGGATTATTTCACTTTTTGTAACTACATCCCCAGTGCCTGGCACAGAGCTGGTGATTGATTTACCTGTCTTATAAGGAAGGCAAGTACTCAAACATTCCTCCCTCTTCTTCAACCAGCCAGATACCAGGACTCCACATTCCTACCCTGGCCAATAGACAGTACTAAGGATTCATCATCTGCCCAGGTGCTGGGCATCTATTCTTCTCCAATCTTTTTCCAGCTCTTGCACAGACACTGATAATCAGATCAACATTAGCAACATTACCAGGAAGGGTCTGATATCTACTTTCCTATAGCTCCACTCAGAATCCCTCTGGTTCTGAGTTATAGATAGTATAGGCTGGAGCTCCCATCCTTGGCCACCACTCCCTGTCCTTCTATGTCAGTCTAATCCCACTCTACACCTCTGGGGCCCTGAGATGCACTCTCCTCCTCTGCCTCTGGAGCCCTGGGATGCACCCCCTCCTCTATCTCTGGAGCCCTGGGATGCACCCCCTTCCTACCTCTACCTCTTGGAACCTATAGTTTCCTTCAAGACTCATCTCAAGTCAACTTGCACCTGATACCTTTCCTGGTCCTCCTCACTTCATACCCTCCCAAATCTTCCTTGTTTTCATTGTGTATAGTTTTACCTACATATATACAAGTATTTACATATACATTTTACATATATATATATATATATATATATACATATTTTGCTTCCCCCAATGGAATATTAAATCAAGACAACAAGCATTTATTAAGTGACTACTGTAAGCCAGGCACTTTGCTAAATGCTAGGGATGCAAAGAAAGGCAAGAAAAAAAGCCGTTCCTGCTATCAAGGAGTTCGGTCTGTTCTTTTGTCATCATAGCCCAGCACCTAGCAGAGTGCCTAGCACTTAGTAGGCACTTAATAACTATTTTTTGTTTTTTTGTTTTTGTTTTGCTTTTTGATAGGCAGTCAGGGTTTAGTGACTTGCCCAGGGTCGCACAGCTAGTAAGTGTGTTGTGTGTCTAAGCCTAGATTTGACCTCAGGTCCTCCTAACTTCAAGGCCAGAGCTCTATCCACTGTGCCACCTAGGTGCCTGGATAAATGTTGATTGATTAGGCTTTTCATGTCATTCTTTCCCCTCTCCTATTGTATATTTTCAACATACACATTCTTTCTCTCCAAAAGAGAATGTAAGCTTCTAGCAGGCAGGGACTGTTTCTATTTTGTCTTTGTATTCTCAGCTCCTGGCCCAGAGTAGATCCTCAATAGAATTGAACTGCAGGACACTAAACTGGTCCCATTGGAGGGACAGTCACAGCCTCCAATAGAGCCATGATCCCTCTCATGTGTGGATGTTCCTTCTAGCTAGTCAACCCATCCAGGGCTCCCTGTCCTGGGCAACTCTTGTCCATGTCCTCTTGTAAGGTGGGAATAGAGAAAGGGACTGAACCTGTGATTTCATTAGTATAGATGAGGAAACTGCCTCTACTAATGTAGGTTAGCACTTTCTTTGCAACCTGGAATCTTGAAGAAATGACTGGGAGCACTGAGAGATTCAGTGACTTGCCTGGGGTTCGTATGGTGTAGAGGAAGAATTTGAACCCATGTCTTCTGGGTTCCAAGGCTGGCCCTCTATCCACCATGCCACACATTGGGATTGTTGTTGTTGTTCAGTTGTGTCCAATTCTGTGTGACCCCATGGGGTTTTCTTGACAAAGATGCTGGAATGGTTTGCCATTTCCTTCTCTAGCGCATCCGCATTTTACAGATGAGGAACTGAGGCAAACAGGAGTTAAATGATTTGCCCAGGGTCACAGAGCTAGGAAGTGTCTTAGGCTGGGTTTGAACTCAGATCTTCCTGACTCCAGTCCCAATGCCCTATCTGCTGTGCTGCCTAGCTGCCTTCCACATTTGGAACATAATGATAAAAAATACAAGATCCCTGGCCTCCAAGAACATCCATGTTTTCTGAGGTCTCACATCTACATAGTGATTTTAAGGTTTACAAAAGTACTGTGCATACCTTATCTCATTTGATGAACAGCCAACCCTGTGAGGTAGGTGCTATTATCATCTCCATTTCACAGATGAGGAAACTGAGGCTCTAGGGAAGTTAATAAGTAGAATACAAAAGACTGAACACTGCATAAATCAGTGACCCTGTCATTCCAGAGGAGGTATTGCTTCATGCTTGAAAGAAGTGACATTTGAGCTAGTCCTTGAAGGATGGGAAGGCTGTCAACTGCCCAAGATGGAATTCTGATTCTCTTCCCCTCTCATGACCTGTTTTACAGGAGGCAGGAAGAAAGAGGCTTCCAGAAGTTTTTTGCTTTCAGCATTGTCTCCAATTTTTATGAAGACATAGAAAAAATGAGACATCCAATCACTATAACAAGAGGAGATGCAGAGGAGTTGGCTAACCACTGGTAAAGAATGGAAACTAGCTCAGTTGACTGCCCCATCAGGGAGGGTCTTTCCCAGTATAGCTATAATCCCAGGTGTTCTTCAGCTATAGAGATGTGTCACCCCAAAAGTGTCCTTGGGTAAAGAGAAGACCTCTAGAAGAAGCCCAAACCTAAGCTCTTTGAAACCTCTGTCCCTGGTGCTAAAACCACAAAAAATTGCATAGAAAATCAGAACTAGAAAAAGCCTTAAGCATATCTAATTCTAAGACCCTCGTTTTTACAGTGGAAGAAACTGAGACACAGAGAGATTTTGCCCAGATCAACCAAGTTTTAGGGAGCAGGGCTGGGATTCAAACCCAGATTTTCTGTGTCCCAGGCCAGTCTTCCCTCCATTATACAACCCAGAGTCTCATCCTTGCTCATAGAATCATAAATCTAATGCTAAAAGGAACCTCAGGGACCATGAATGAATGAATGAAAAAGTTCCTACCATGTGCCAGGCACTATGCTAAACTCTGGGGATAAAATATAAGAAAGCAAAGTTGTCCCTGACCTCAAAGAGATTACATTCTAGTAGGGGGAGTCCATACATACAAAGAATAGAGGAAGGATATGCAGGTGGGATCATCACTATTGACAAAGATTCATGAGAGCCAAGAAACACCATAATCCAGAAAGTAGAGAATTGTGGGATATGGGGAATAAACCAACAAACCGTAGGAGTAAGCAGTTGTTGTCTCTCATTCTCGAAGAGACCCAAAATGACATCACTATGCTAGAGTCAAGCTAGAATGTGTCCAACTGGGGCTCATCAGACCAGTGAACTCAAAATGTTCTGCCATAGGTCACGCCCAAATAGTCCATGTGAACATTTGGAGTGGATTCTCTAAATTTGAGCATCTCATGTGGGAGTAAATAGAAAACTCCCAAAGAGACACTAATGACTCCAAAGAAAGATTGAGGAATGATTTTAGTCCTCCACAAGTGGTTGCTTACTAAGTGATACCCTGGTGAGTTGGGCTCAATCAACAAACATTTATTAAGCACCTACAATGTGTGAGGTACTGTGCTAGGGATGAAGGTACAAAGACAATCAGTAAGCATTTATTAGAGAGATTCCTGGGGCAACTTGTAACCTTAAGACATGGAACCAGTATGTCTGTAAGGCACCTTAAAACAGAGAATGTAAGAGTTGGGAGGACCCTTAGAACAGGAAATGTCAGAGTTGGGGGGGACCCTTACAACGAAGATTATAAGAACTGAGAATGGGTCTTAGAGAATCTCCAGCCCACCCACTTGTTGTACAAATGAAGATAACTGAGGCTCAGGCCCTGAGGGATCCCCAAAGAAAATATCTTTAGTAGCTCCTCTAACTGGATCTCTTCTGTTGGAAATGAAGGTATTTTGACTTATTATCTAAACTCCCGGAAGACTTAAAGAAATATCGTCCTGCCAAGAAAATCCTACAGAAATTACAAAAGCATGGAGAGAATTTGGACCTCAGAATCCGTCCACATGTCCTCCTCAGAGTGCTGCAGGACCTCCGTACATGGGAGCTGTGCTCCCCTGACATTGCTGTGGCCATTGAGGTAAGCATCAATAAGGGCTGCTCCCTGGCCCAGGTGTCCACCTCCAACAATCACCCCTCTACCTCTTCAACGCCTGTATGCGGCTCCATGGCTGACTGGGGTCCTCTCTGACCTCTAATTCCATTGTCCTTAGTGAAATGCCACTGTCGCAATCCCCCATTGGCTCAGAATCTTGTTAGGTAAAAGGAGCCAATCTATGAAATTAATTCATACTAAAGTATTACTAAGGTGACTTCTCATGTATAACATCTATATTTTAACAAATGTCACCAAGGACTGATCCCATGTTCTGTCCCACGGTCACCCACATAGTCATCAGATTCCATTCAGGGGCTCAGGTCCTCTGGCAAAAATGTCTGCCAAAAGTGAGTCAACCTGGACCTCAGAGTGCAGGAAGGACAGGAGAATATTGCACAGGGCTGGAGATACTCCTAGGATGGTTTCCATCCAGAAGCTTAACCAGAAATGTGAAACCACTGAAAGAAATTTCAGAAAAGAACCTCATTTGCTGTGTGAGCACCGATCTTGAGGGTCACTGTGGTTCAGGGATTATTCAAGTCACATTTGCATTCATGGAGAAAGCTAACAGGGACCATCTCCCTTCCTCTGACTCTAGTTTGTTTTCTACTATAATCGTTGTTGTTAAGTCATTTCAGTCACGTCCAGCTCTTTGTGACCCCATTTTGGGTTTTCTTAGCAAAGACGACTAGAGAGGTTTTCTATTTCCTTCTACGGCTCATTTTACAGATGAGGAAACTGAGGCAAACAAGGTAAAGTGATTTCCCCAGGATCACACAGCTGGTAAGTGTCTGAGGCTAGATTTGAACTCAGATCTTCCTGAATCCAGGCCCAGTGCTCTATCCATTGTGCCACCCAGCTGCCCCTAATCATGCCATTAGGTTACTGAGGTAGGATCTCAGAACAATTCCTGTATCAAAAGTGTGGTGGGCAGAGCTGTATATGAATGACTAATCATCATAGACTCAGCCCCCCCTGAAGAACTGACTCTTCACTGCTTAGAGGAGGTACTAAGCTTGGCCACACTCCCTAAGATGCTGGGAGGAAGGAAATTCACATGTAACACACAGCTCCCCTGGATCTCTTCCCACTGCTCAGCACATCAGTTGATTAAAAAATTCAGCAAGGAAGCAACAAGGTCCAGTGGGAAGAGAGGGCTGGGTCAGGAATCTAGAGGCACTCAGTTCAAATCACCTCCACTGGCAACTGTGACCTGGAGGAATAAATCCATTCACCCCTCTGGGCCTCATCACGTCCACCCAAATGAGTTGGATGGGACTAGAGCACTCCTGTTTTAGACCTGTGGTCCCCATTTTGAGGCATATTGCTTGTGTGACTTTGAGGAAATGCCTTTGCCTTTCTGTGCCTCAGTTTCTTTATCCATAAAATGAGGAGGGGTTGGACTAGATGGTCTTTGGGGGCTCCTTCCACCATTAGATCTAGGACCCTTTGAACACATAATTATTGAATGTCCAGGGCACTGTCCTGCGTACTTGAGTATGCAAGGCCAAAAATAAAAGTCCCTTACTTCAAGGAATGCACAAAAGAGAGGTGCCCATACCAGGGAAATGTCCGAGGAAAGCCAGAGAACAGCTCTGCCCTTCCCCAAGTCAAATCAAATGAGATGATATTTGTAAAGCACTTAGCTTTACCTGACACACAGTAGGTGCTTAATAAATGCTTGTTCCCTTCCCCCTTCCTCCCCCAAGTGCCAGAACCATACCTGAGAATCAATGTGACATCATAGAAAGTGAGAGAGGTTTGGGATCAGATGATCTGGGTTCAAATCCTGGCTCTCAACTGCACTGCTTGTCTAACTGTAAGCTAGTCAAACTCCTAGGGCCTCAGTTTCCTCCTCAATAAAATGAATAGTATAGACTAGTCCCTTCCAGCTCTAAAAAAGCAGGTCTGTGGGCTCAACCCTGAGAAATCCAAGCCCCTGTAGGAAGTCCATAGAATCCCCACAAATAATACTAGCTAGAATTTATATAGTATTGAAGTACATATGTTATATCATTTGATCCTCAAAATAGTGCTGTGAGGTAAGAGTTAGTATTACCCCCATTTTACAGATGGGGAAACTGACAAGCGACTTGCCCAGGGTTTCACAGATGGTAAGTGCCCAAGGCAGAATCGGAACTCTAGTCTTCCAGACCCAGAGTCCAGCGCTGTCACCACAATGCCACAGAGTTCTCAGTAGCTGCTCTTCCACTCTTGATTATACAGGGCTCAAAAGTCCACTCAGCTCAAGTATAGGTATACAGAGCACTTGAGACCATTCTAGTTGGGCTTTTAATTCAATGGGATATACCAGTATTTGCCACATGGGTCTAAGATCAGGCTCGAACGTGGCTGTTATTTTCTCAACTCCCAGTTATCCCCAGGACTGCTGTCCCCCAGCACATAATACAGCCACAAAGTGTAGCCTCATGGCTAGATGCTTTTCCTACCCAGTAGGATTCTGGTAAATGTTTAACAATTGACTGGGGGATTGGGGTGGGGAATGCATACAGGATACACTTTTAAATTTAATCCACATTAACATTTTTTCCATTCCTTTCTTAAGTCTAGACAATAAAATGAGAAATCAAGCTCTGATTTATAGCATTGCTCATTTCTGAGATGTAAATACTCACATTGAAAATTTAACAACTGGCTCTCTGAGTAAGGCTTGAGCTTCCTCCAGCACAGCCCTAGTCCTGTCTTAATACATAGAGTAAGGGGGCATGGGGATTTACTGTGATGTAAATGCTCCGATGGAGACACACAAAGGGCTTGCCTGCTGGCAGCCTCCAGTCAGGCTTCCCCGGCTTGTCTGAGAGGCCCCCTCAGGCAGCTGGTGCTGGGAGGGCAGGAGGAGAGACTACATGCTAAGAGACTTTTGCACATGCCTGAAGGAATGTTGAATTCATCAAAAACTAAAAATATCAGGAGAAATGTGGAAAGAAAGGGAAAGAAAGGGAAAAAGAAGCAATTCTCTCCAAAATGACCCTACATTATTAATAATAGCCCAGGTTTATAGAGAGCTTTAAAATTTGCAAAGTGTTTTTTTATCCATTTTCATATTTGCACCCCACCATTGAGGCATTGTGGGAAAGAACTCCAAATCTAGTCTCGGTTTCCAATCCCAGCTTTGTCCCTTTCTAGTAGCTGCATGACCTTAGGTAAGTCATTTAACCTCGATGGATCTCCATTTCCCCATCTGTAAGATGAGGGGAGTTGGATTCACTCAGCCTTTAAGGTCCATTACAGCTCTTGTTCTAAGACCCCCATGGTCCATGATTCAAATTCTGCTTCTGCTGCTTACTCCCTGTGTGACAGGGACAAGTTCTTTCCCTCTTTGGGGCCTCAGTTTCCTTAGCTGTCAGAAGGAAGGAGTGGGACCACTTGGCCCTTAAAGTCTTTTGCAACTCCAGATGTGACCCTATGAATCACTCTGTGCCATTGGCATGGCAAAGACTATTGTCTCCATTTTACAGATGAGGAAACTGAGATTCCAAGAAGTTAAATTACTTGTCCCAAGGTCACAGTGTTGAATAGAGGCTCGAAATGGAGAGCTGAGAGGGACCTCAAGTACAAACTTTAATGAGACAGAGGAGGAAACCAGGGCACAGAGAGAATAAGTGAATTTCTCAAGATCACACAAGTAGGAAGAAGCAAAGCCAAGATTCAAGCCAGATCCACTGTGCTATGTTGATGCTGGTGTAGGCAGGCAGAGGCCTGAGAATCAGCAGAGCCCTTCAGCTGGATCCTTCCACTAGAGAATGGATGGTCATGGGATGAAGACATAACCTACTCCACCCCAGTCCTGAACTGGACTTGTGAGATCCTAGGTCTAGAGCTAGAAGAGGCTTCTGAGGTGAGACCAGCTAGGACAACCTCCCCATTTTACAGATGAGGAAACTGAAGTCCAATGAAGTGAACTTCCCCAAGTTTCTACAAGTCGTAAGGGCTGCTGTCTGCTTGTTGAGTGACTAGATGGGACAGTGGATAGAGTGCCAGGCCTGGAGTCAGGAAGACCTGAATTCAAATCTAGCCTCAGACACTTACTAGCTATGTGACCCTGGGCATGTCATTTCACCCTGTTTGCTTCAGTTTCTTCATCTGTCAAATAAGTTGGAGAAGGAAATGGCAAACCACTCCAGTATCTTTACCAAGAAAACCCTAAATGGGGTCACGAAAAGTTGGACTCAGCTGAACAACAACAAAAGGGTCAGGGTGGGATTTGAACTCAGGTCCCTTGACCTCCAGAGCTAGCATTCTTTCCACTGCACTTTCTGCCTCCCCACAAGTAAGATAGGCCATCTCTGGAAGTCATGGGCTCTTCCTCACCAGAAGTCTTCAATCAAGAGTCAAAGGACTCCTTGTGGACAATGTTGTAGAAGGGATTTTTATTCAGGTGGCCATCTGTTGGACACTGTGATCCTTAAGGTCACTTCCAACTCTGATATTCCATGAGCCTGGGGTTCCCATGGGGCCCCCAGAGGGAGGGTCCCACTTCTCTGCTTACTGCATCTCTGCCTTTCTTCCCACAGTTTGTACGAGAACATATTGTCCAAATGCCCCAAGCGGACTATATCAAGTGGCTTCGGACTCGGGTCAACCTTCCCATGAGAAGCCACAGCGCCCCACCCCCTTAGAGAGGTCGAAGCCAGAGGCTGCCAAGGGACGGCCCAGCCTGGCAATGGGAACACTGTGAAGGAAGACGGGGAATGTAGATGGAAGTGTTGGAACCCTTGGGAGGCTGGCAGTGCCCAGAGAAGTGCCTCCTTCAGCTCCAGCCCCACTGCCCAAAGAGCCAAGAGGAAGAAAGCCAACTCAGCCTCCTCCCCAGCTCCCAAGCTTCTCACATCCTGCTCCGACACCCCCTAAATGAGAAAAGCCTGACCAGCCACACCTTGGTTTCCATCCCTGCTTTTCATCAAGGCTCAACTTCCCTCCAAAAAAGATGGAGACTGCTCTTCGCCACCATAAGAGAAAACTCAAGCCAGCTCAGGGACCCTTTGCACGCCAGAAGTCAGACGCCAGAGGGGGTCTCCCACTGGGGCTCTGCTCTCCAACAACCCAGCCTTCCGGAATCCACCAGGCTCCTCCAATCCACTTACCTTCCCCCCTCTCAGGTCCATCACTCTAGTGTTCTATCAGGTTCGGTCCAGTGTTCCATCCTTTCCCAATGTCTCTTTACTACTTTCCACCAAATGCAATTTATTGTTGGTAATAAAATGGAAATGAATGTCAGACATATGGGAGCACTCTTGGTCCAAGCTGGGACAGCATGGTTTTTTGCACCTGGGGAAAATAGCATGAATCACACCCTCAAGCCCCCACTTGGGGAGGCTGTTATGGGTCCTGGAGAGGGGAGAAAGAGTGGAGGAAGAAAAGAAACATGGCAGCTTCCTATTTTAATTTATTATTCTTGCTAAGTACTAAATGATGTTATATCTAAACTGCTAAAGGAATAGAAGGGCTGTCAACAATCTCTAAATTTCAGCACCCTGAGACAAAGCTTCAGTCAGTCAATTAATCAGTAAACATTTGTTAAGCACCTGCTATGTGCCAGACACTGTGCTAAGTCCTGGGGATACAAAAAGAGGCAAAAGACACTTCCTGCCCTCAAGGAGCTTACAATCTAATGGAGAGATAACACACAAACAAATATGTACAAAGCAAGCTATATGCAGGATAAAGAGGAAATAATTAAGAGGGAAGGCACTGGGATTAAGATGGGTTGGGGAAGGTCACCAGCCCTCCTTATAGCTCTGCTTTATGACAAAGGAAGCCTGGGCTTTCCTTTTACCTTCCAAAATAGGGGTAAGATTTGCATTTTGATTCAAGGTCCACCCAACCCACAAACCCTTCTGAAGCACCTACTGTGTGTTCTGTGATACCTAGATATGACCTAGAACCTACTTTTGAAGAACTTAGTCTAAGCGGAATGAGAAAAGGGGCATGCTAGTAAATGCTTAACCACCAATTCTCCCAAATAATAATAACAATAATAATAACAATCAGCATTAGCAGAATTGTCTCCATCACTTAAGTCTAGACAATCAAGAAAACCAAGCCTTGACTTGTGCATTTATATCAATTCCTAAGGAAAATTGCTCACACTGAAAATTTAAAGTTGGCTCATATGAACCAGTAAGAGCTGGCTCCAGCATGCCGCTGGATAAAAAGTGTAATAGTAATTATGAAAAGAATGAGCGAGAAGGATTCAAGGAACAGGCCCAGTCAAAGTGCTCTGAGAAACTGGAGAAGGGGAAAGGGAACCATCAGGGAAGTCTCCATAAAGGAGGGGAACCTGAACTGAGCCCTGAAATCCATGAGGGATCTCAAGTGAGGAGCTCAAGTGAGGTGGGAAGAGCTCTGACTAGGGTCAGAGGACCTGGGTTCAAGTCTCACTTCTGATAATACCTATGGGACCTGAGGTAGGTCAGGTCTGCACCTATTCCCACATCTGCAAAATGAGACGAACCAGACAGCCTCTGTGCTCCCTTCCTGCTCTAAATATGGACTACATGGCTAATAGCAGCAGTCTACCCCAGGCATTGGGGACAGCATAAAGGACCACAGATCCAAAGGTGGGAGGGTCCTCAGAGGTCATCTAGTCCATTTTACAGGTGGGGATTGTCTGCTCCTTAAGGACAGGAATTGGTTTTTTTTTTCCTTTCTTTTTATCCCTAGCACTTAGCAGAGTACCCAGCTCACAGTAAGCTCTTAATAAATGCTTGCTGACCTAACTTGGCTGTGACTTGACTGTGTGGCCTCGGACAGTTGTTTCACCTCTAGGATTCAGTTCATCTGTAAAATGAGGAATCTGGAGGCTTGTTCTTTAGTCATTTTTCAGTCATGTCTCCTTTTGGGGTTTTCTTGGCAAAAATACTGGAATGGCTTGCCATTTCCTTCTTCAGCTCATTTTACAGATGAGGAAATGGAGGCAAAGAGGATGAAATGACTTGCCGAGGGTCACACAGCTAGTAAGTGTCTGAGGCTGGATTTGAACTCAGGAAAATTAGTCTTCCTGACTCCAGGCCTGGCGCTGTGTTCACTATGGCACCACCTAGCTGCCCCAATTGCCCCAATTTGGAGACCATAGGGCCTTTAATTCTAAGGTTCATCTAACTCTATGATTTTTGCCCTCTCCCTGTCATTAAGAGACCTAGTCCAACCCTATAATTGTAGAGTGGGGAAAACTGAAGCCCAAAAGATGAAATCACTTGCCCAAGGTCACACAGGGAGTAAGCATAAGACTTGGGATATGGACCCAGCTCCTGTCATTCCATAGCAAGTGCTGTCCCCTTCCCTACATGGCCTCCAGATAAGCCGTGCAGACCACTGGAGGGACTCTGTCTCCTAGGTAACCCCCAGTGCTCCTGCCCTTGGATGTCTTCTCTTCCTCATCACAACTTCCTCATCACACAAGAGGAAGATGGAGACAGAGACAGAGAGAGGAAGACAGAGAGAAGAATGAGAAAAGAGAGACGGGGAGGGAGGAAGAGGAAGAGAGGAAGGAGTGAAAGAAAGAGGGGAAGAGAAAGGAAGGGAGAAGGAGAGAGGAAAGGGTGAAAGAATGAAGAGAGAGACAGAGAGGAGAGAGAGAACAAAGAAGAGAGGGAGGGAGAGGGAGAGGAAGAGAAAGGGAGAGATGGAGCACATATTTATTAAGTGCTTGTTGTCATGTTCAGGCACAGCAGTAAGTTCTGGGGATACAAATACAAGCACCCCAAAAAAGAGAGGCCCTCCCCTCAATAAGCTGACATTCTAATGAGGGAGACACACAAGAAGGAGGTAGAGAAGTACCAGAGAGTGGAGCCAGGGCGACCTGAACACAGCCTGAACCTCTCATGAAATGGCGGCTCAGGCTAGGGACTCGCCAATGAGGAGAGGGGGCCTCAAAGTGAAGGCATTTCCAGGTTGCTAAGATATGAACCGAGGATAACAGATGAAGGGATTAGCCCTCCCAAACAACCTAATTGCCCATTATACTGAAGAAGCATGGCTATTCAGGCACCAGGGCAGTGGGGAGAGGCTCAGATCTCAGTTCTTCCATACTGCCCGGACCAGTCACCAGCCCAGCTGCTCCCTCCCCTAAGTCCTTTTCTTCTTACCTAGATCTCCCTCATCCATGGCCACCATGTTGAATTTTCAGTCCTGGGCTGACCTCTTGTGGTCCAAGTCAGCATTACATTTACTACACACTAACAGTCATGTATTTAGGACCATGGATCATGGACCTCAGAGCCCATCTAATCCGTACTCCTCTTTTTGTGGATGGGGAAATCAAGGACCAGGAAGGTTAAGTGACCAAAGATCTTTGGAATATTGCCCTGGAAGAGATTTTAAAGCTTTGTTTTACAAATGGGGAAACTGAGGCCCAGAGAGGCAAAGCGTTTTGTGCAAGGTCATTCAGATAGGAAGCCAAGATTTGAGCATAGGTCTTCTGACTAGAAATTCAGCACTCTTTCAGCAGTAGCAAGGTCCTTCAAGCCACCTCTGTTCCTTCCTCTTCTCAGCTACATAAGATGCAGGCCATAAGGCCAATGAACAGTTGCCCTCTGACACTGTCTTACCTTGGGGACAATCACCCAGCAGGGTTGAGCAAGAAGACCAAGTTGAATAAAAGAAGGAGAAAAAGAGGACATGGTTCTGGAGATGTAGACTAAGTGGCTACCATCTTTAGTGGGAAAAGAAACCTCAGAAAGCTAAGCAAAACTGGTCATGGCAGCTTTGCTACCTATATCTATATCCTTCCACAAAGAACATGGTTATGCTCCCTTCTCAATCCCTTGCAGTCTGACTTCTGTCCCCACCATTTAACTGAAATGATTCCCTTTGTGCTTACAAATAATGTCTTTACCGCTAACTCCAATGGCCTTTTCTCAGACCTTATCCTTTCATGACTTCTCCTAAGCCTTCGACCCTATGGACTGCCTCCTCCTTCTCTTAGATGCTCTCTCCTCCATTAGCTTCCACAACACTACTCTCTTTTGGTTGTCTTACTACCTGTTTGACCATTCCTTCTCAGCCTCTTTTGCTGGGTCACCATCTTTCTTCTTATCCATAACTGTGGGTGTCCTTTGTCCTCAGTTCTCTTCTCTTCTTTGACTTCACCCTCTTTCTTGGTGACATTAGTCCCTGTCGGTTCAATTAACACCCCTATGCAGATGACTGCTAAATCTATTTATTCAGCCCTAATCTCTCTCCTGACCCCATTCTGTATTGCAAACAGTCTGCTGGACAGCTCTATTTGGATATCCCTTAGGCATCTCAAATTTAATATGTTCAAAATGGGAATCACCATATCTCTCCGCTCACATCCATCTCTCCTCCCATATTCCCTATTTCTGTGAATAACACCATCGTCCAAGTCATACGACCACTCTCCTTTTGTCTGAAATGAAACACAGATGGATTCTCCCTCACATGAATGACTGCAGGTGATATCTGAAAGCTTTAGGTGAGATTCACAAAATCAAAAAATTTCAGAGACCTCAGTGACCGACCAAATTAAACCTGAAGAGAAATCCCCACTGCAGCATACTTGACAAGTTATCATCTAGTGTCTGCTTGAAGACTTCCAATAAATGGAAACTCTCTACTTCTGGAGACTGTCCATTCCAGTTTAGGTTAGTTCTAGAAATATTTTTTCCAGATGTAGCACTTCTTCTGGGCTGTTTTCCAAACCTGTACTTACTCTCACAGGTTGAGTTTCTAGGGAGGTTATGACTCCCACAGGTTCTAGAGTATACTGTGGGTCTGAGTCCTATTACTATAGTTCGTGAGCCCCCACCAGGGTTCTTCCAACTAATAATTAGTCAGTGAACAGCATTCAATTGGGTATGTCTTTTCTCCTGTACCTTTCACTTTTCTTCTCTCTTCAGCTATTTGTAAAGCCTCATCAGACAGCTATTTTGCTTTCTTGCTCTTCTTTTTCTTTGGAATGTTCTTTGTTGCTTCCTCCTACATAATATTGCAAACCTCTGTCCATAGTTCTTCAAGCACTCTATCTACCAGATCTAATCCCTTAAATTTATTCATCACCTCCAGTTCATATTCAGAGACAAGAAAGTTTTCTTAAATGAGCAATGCAAAGAAATAGACGAAAACAATAGAATGGGAAGAAAAAGAGATCTCTTCAAGAAAATTAAAGATATCAAGGGAAGGTTTCATACAAAAAATGGGCATGATA